CGGAGCATCCTTTGTGGACCCAACAAACAGCGGAAGCCTGGACTCGAAGGCACATAAGACACAGGTAGAATGTACCTACCTAGATCATATATGAAAGCGGCATCAGGAACTTATTCAGAGAGTGGCTGCATGTCGGCCGGCCGACCGACTTAGGGGTGGGTCGGGCAAACGACGATGAGCGGCGCCGACGTCGGAGTTGAATCTACTCGAACGAACAACGCACCGAGTGTATTTTTTCCAGTCGCGAAGATCTTGAGATTTTTCAACGAACGATTGAGAACAGCGTTTGGAGTACCCTCTTGTGCTCAAGGTGCGCTGCGGTCTCGTCGAACAAGGGGTTTGATGACGATCTCGGCGGCGCGGCGGCGGCTAATGCCGCGACTCGGCAGTACCCGATGGTCTTTGGGTGCCACGAGAAGCTACGATTGGGTGCTCGGCGCTCTCTGATTCGGAGCGTGAAATCAGTTACAAAGTAGCTCGCTCCGACTGAGCTTAATCTTCTTGTTTGGTAGCGGAGAGCTCCCAGCGCTTCCTTTGAAAGTCCACCACTTCTTGAACACTTTCACTGACCATTGGACTTCGAGGCTCAGACGATCTCCTCGAAGGCCAACTTCGCTTGAGTACCCTGCTCCCGACAATCAGACATCCGGGCGAGCTACAAACAGTCGGATCTACTCGAGGACCTCAACTCTGAACCGGGATCGAGAAGTTCAAGAATACGTTAACCGCACTGCTCGTTGTCCGATCGGAATCGGGAAAGGGGTGGCGAAGGAATTTCACATGCGAAAAATTGATCGACGGAACGACATTCCATGAAGATGTCCCTTGCCGTCATGAGGTATCGCGTGGGACGCTTCGGTGACCCGCAGTGAAACGTAATACGTTCGATTTCGCGCGGGACCTCAAACGTCGAAATCAAATATTTGTTCTGACTCAGCAAACGAGCATCATCAATCATCACACCTCGGCGTCCCATAACATATTCGCCGCCCGTTTACTCGCCTGCCTGCCCACCTACTCGACCGATGGTTCGCTAGCCGGCTAAGCTAAACTACCGCCGGACTTCGAGGAACGGCCTGCGTGGTCGTGAATCAGGTGACTTTAGCCAAGTAGGATCACCCAGAAAGTTCCGAGAACAAAAACGAGTTAGTCCATTTCGTGCCCTCGATTCAACCCTTGCTACTCAAGCTCGCTCCGGACGTCAAGTCAATCAAGCACGCGTCCTGAGCGTTCCGATTTCATACACGATCATCCCGTTTTTTCCAGATAATCACGTCTCCGGCCGATCGGCTCCGACCGATGATTTCTCCGAGACCGAAACTCACTCTTCATCGCTCATGTTGGATTCGAAACCTCTCTTCGCAGTAAAAATCAACCACCGCTCTCTGATTTGGAGCAACTGCAGTCCATATCGCAAGACATCGATCAGAATTTATGCAGAGCTCTGTCGATCTCAACAAGTTGATTTTTTGTCAGTACCGAGCAGAGACCCAGCGAGCCGAACTCTTTCGATACCTGAAGCTTCTTGAAATTCGCATAAATTTGCCACAAGGCGTCCGAGAATGCATCCTCTCGGCACACTCATGGATTCAGGAGCCCCGCGTCGGTTGAGCCCCAAGTTGTTTCTGCTTCCGCTGAAGCAGTCCAGCTGAGCTTTCAGATATTCAGGAAAAATTATCTGGAATTTTACTCAAGCCGAGCGCCGCTCCCCCCGATAGGGCCAACGATTCGCCGATAAATTGTTCGGACTCGATGGCGGCCGAATTCGTGCACTTTGAAAACCAATGTCTGAAGATATTGAATGACTAACACACATATCAATCAATTTCTTCGCCGCTGCAGCAAACGAGGGGTCAGGGGGAGCGACAGGGAGTGCATTAGCGAATTGAAAGCACGAACTGGTTTCTCGCTGGCGGATGTCAGGTGTCGCTCGGTCGGATTCAACCGACTGGAAAACTGCGGGTAGATGAAAATCCCCTCTGAACGCAGAATTGCTCTCGCTGACGACAAGCCTTGTGTGTCTAGATCTGGACCCTAGACGAATGGACGAGCCAATGGATTGAGAGACAGAAAGATAAATAAATACCGATTGATTTGCTCGCAAGGACCCGTTGGGACGCCTGAGACCGTTGGAATGAGAAGCTTCTTCTCCGCCATCCACTCCCAACCCCTTTGATTTCAGCCGCTGAACAAACTCCTTAGTTTCTCCGGACGTCGAGATGATCAATGGTGTCGGAAGTGGATTCAGCGCTCCTTCCAGACCTTCCAAAAACTGCCGAATCGTATCGGAAGCGATCGCCGATCATCAATGATTCCGATGGGATGATGGTGTGGAAAAACGGAAAAGATGGAAAAAAACCTCTAACCGTATTCACGCCCCTACTCCCCCCCTGTGTACTCGGGTACGTTTGGCGCGCAACGAGGATTCCCGAATCAGATCAGAACTTCCTATTGAGACCTGTCACGGTGGAGACAATCAGTGGCGGGGTAAATCCATGCGCGGCCATCTCTCGAGAGCCTGGCTTCGTTCGCAGATGGTGATATGAATCTCTTCACATCAGAATGAGAAGTTCTCACATTGCGCTCTCGCGACTCGTTGCAGAAACTCTGCCTGCGAGTGAGGGGACCAAGATATAAATCGATAAGCCAAGGTGCGACTTGTACGCGCACAAATCGCCTTTTGGGATCCGATGCGTTTTCGTGGAACGGTAGCAAGTTCCTGCATTCATCTACAATGGACTGTTGTGGACTTCATTAGCGCACCCGGGACGACGATGGCGAGACCGAGAGAGATATTTGTGTTACTAGAATCGAACAAACTTGATCCGACACGAGCTCACAAGAGAACCGTATTCGAAGCCTGCCTCGAGACTTTCCCTGGTCGGATGGAGATCGGCGGATGTTAGAAGTCCTTCGGGGCTTCCGCACCATGCGGTCTTTGTCCCGGAACGACGTCTAAGAGCCCGCCACTCAGCGCCAATTGACGAAAAACGTGTCCGGTACTCTGGTGATATCCCTGATTCACCATGCTTGCGAGCTGGTTTTCCAGTCCGGAGACGCTGTTGAAGCAGAAGGGCAGACTCCAACGGTATCCGAGAGAACTCGTGAAGAACCGCTCGTAGCTCGCTTCGGTGTTGTTAGTTTATGTAGAGAGTTGCAACTTGTTTGCATGAAGCGGTTGACTTCCGCCACTTGAATGACCCAGATATTGACGAAGGCCTCAAGGACAGCCGATCCGTCAACTCCTGTCCTAGAATTTCCTTTGACGCCCAAGTCATATCTAGCGTGCGACTGGCTCCATATGCTGACCTTCTGTTACTTCTGCAGAGGGAGACAAATCTTCGAAATTCTCCGCGGTTGGTAAGTCCTAAGAAAATCGAAAGCGCGCGACTCTCGAGACTCCTCTCTTTCCGCTCAGAGACGCGAGAATCCCGTATTTTTTTCCCGAGCTGAGGCTCGCGGACCCAGAGGATGGGTTCTCTCAATATTCACTCTCAAGGTATACTCAGGCTTACTGTTCCGGGTTTCGGTCCCTAGGGCGTGCCTCGGATGCGAGACCTTATGTAACTGGAGATCTTGTTAGCTCCACTAATCTGGCTCTGGATGCCGCTGACTGGCGACGACCTTTATGCTTGAGAGTTTTCGTAGTGTTTTGTCGTAGATTCGTAGAGCTCTTGGGTGTCGAGCGATGGGCGACCTCAGTAGCATTGAAAAGCCATTGTTGATATCTCTTGAGGTCCGCCTGTCTTCCATCATCCGCAGAGGAAGACGAGGCCTGCTCTCTGACTTGACGAGTCGAGCTTCTCATCGGCCGGTCACTCTGACATCCCACAAACACGACCATCACGTCCGCCACAAAAGCGCTCGACCGATGTTACCTCATGCATTAGACTCGAGCAGGGAGAGAGAGTGAATATATGTAGAATAGTAGTCTGGTCGGCCAATGAAACAGTGCACAGCGAATCATACCGGCTCTCGTGAGGGCACGTGGCCATCCAATGGAGATCCCTAAATACAACTCCTTCAAGCTTTCACGGAGACAAGCTTGTCTGAGTCATTGCATTTCATGAGGTGAGGAACGAGCCCTTTGAGGAAGCCCTCATGATGATATCGAGCTCGGCCATCCGACGCGATCATCGAATTTCTCCATCGACAGACGATTTTGCGCGCTGGAAGGCAGGGAGTTCCCCTAGAAATGAAGAAACATTTTTGCCTACTAGTTGTCTCATACTATTCTGGGGTGATTCCTGCTCAAGCTCGCTGACTGATAACTGGCTCACCGGCAAGTCCTTCGCCGAGTCAGAAGATCCCACAAAGCACGAAATCCTGCTGTAACAGAAAGTCGGGAACAAAATTGAATTTCGCAAACAACCGATGTAATCTTTTTCGGGCGTTTTGTCGCAGCGAGACTCGGACCTGCATACCTTAATCCCGTCCTTGTCACTCTATTCCTACGGGAAAGTATTGTTAGACGGCGCTGAGAATTGTGTACTGTTGTATAATCACATCAAAACATCCCGCCCACGAGCTATCCGCGTTGACGACATGGGGCTCTGACGGCTCATTCCGCCCCTAACACAAGCCCTAGGCGGTTGGCGACCAGATTGACGAAGATTCCGAAACTCCGAATTTTATCAAAGTGTATCTCAGCTCGATCCCCCATTCCATGGAAAACTTTCGTTCATTTCGCACGAGAAACGAGCACGATGGATCTCATAACTATCTATCGTGCTTCTTCTTCTCCATTCCATGGGGCGAATTCGATCGTGATTCCATTGATGGGTAGAGCTTCTTCAGAGACGGGCTAGCGCCACAAGCTTCCTAATTATTACTTGCTCTCCGAATCAGAAAATGAATATTCATCCTTTATGTAACGAAACGATGACATTTTATTCATGTCGCCCAAAAGTCACAGAACGCTTGTAAATTTTCTACCTAATTGTGAGATCCCAGACATATAATCGGTCGATGGGTTGTCGGGAGTCTCTCGCCTCGCGAGGTCAATAAAATGTGTTGTCGAAAAAACATTCTGGAGAGCTGATGTGTTGACTGTGGCAGCTCTCGCTGGTTGGAGATGAGGGATTTGAAGAGCAGAACGAGTTGATTTCGGGGTAGGATGTCTCAGACTGGAAAGCTACGCTCTGGAAACTGCTCGAGCTTGATGTCGCGCTCGAGCAAGGCGCCAGTCGGTCGCTCGAGCCTGAAATGTGTCGCCGAATCGTTTGCTTGAGTTGGGACGTGCAGGTCTTCGTTTGCGATCCCTGTAGCGCAACGGCGGCGAGGAGTGGATTGATGCCGGTATCCGGAGGGCTCTGTCCATCCAGCATCTTCAAGGTCTCTGACAATGCGTATATGTAGTTGTGAGCGAATCTGAGCGTTTCGATCTTCGTCAATTTGAGAGGGTCTTCCGCTTCACGATCTTGTTCGGGCGACACGTTGCCGTCCGCTGCCGGGAGGCAAACCGGAAGAACGGTCCGCAGGCGGTCGAGGGCGTCATTGAGGTTGTGCATGCGGTTCCTTTCACGATCGTTGGCACGGAGTCGTCGGCACTTCTTGACCTTCTGCTGACCGCCTACTTCGACTTCAGTGGACCGATGCAGCCTTTTCCTCGACTCCTGTTGGGGCATCGTCTTCACAGCGGTCAACTGACCAAGGTGAGGTTCTTCACAAAGGAGCATGATTCGTTCACAGGAGAGTGTCACACAAAATCTAACCACCGGTTGTGAGAGAGCGCAATTTATGTGCTCTGGGACTCCAACCCCCGGAGGAGAGGATGAACAGAGAGGGGAATCCGGAGGCTCGGCCTCCGAGTCGCGGTGCCCCAATGACATCGAAGAGTTTCGTGCCATCTCGATACGATCAATCCCCGGCCCGACAATTAGTCCTATCAAGGCTCAAGACCTCCCATATCAGAATCTCGTACGAATTGGTTCATCATGAATCATGAGCCCGTTCCTGGTTGGGCGATCTGCTCACAATCAGTCAGACTTCGTTGCTTACTTCAGCGAGTACGCAGCGGACTTCTGGATCTGTGACGGGCGTTGGGAGAACAATTGATTGTAGGTACACTCTGCAAGATGAGAAGCTTCGGACAGGAATACCCTCTTATCTGACTTTTCCGAGGTTTCCATTAGGCGAGCTCGCGAAACTCAAACGGATCTGGATGCCGAAAACTAATATCATAGTCGATGCCGCGGCTGACAATAAATGACTCCATTACCGAAAACCAGCCTCCCGTCTGGCTTTACGGTCCACTTGAGCTATTTTGAGGAATACTCTGATGGCTCCATTCTAGAGAAAGTCATAAATTAAGCGGTGGTGGACATTCACGCCCTAGTTTGGGTGACCCTTGCCGCGTAGGTGCCTTTTTAGTGAATACCACAAAAGCCTAAAGGGAAAACCGCAGCCATCGACAGTCGTTGCTCGCAGCTCGATTTGACTGCAGCACAAAGCACTGTTTGCATACAACAACACCACCGCCGGTCGTTATGTCTGAGGAGGAGCAGGAGACCTCGTGGAGAACGTTCCGAGCCTCGGCTGCTCTAACTCACTCGGTTAGACCACATCGATCGCGCTGGACTTCGATCCCGCCCGGACATTGGCTTTAATCAAACCGCGGAGCCGACTTCTCGGTCTCCATCGGTAACTTCTTCCTCCGGTCGCTCCTTTTCGATCGCTCCGAGTCGCCTCGAATCGGGAAGTTGCCGAACGAGGTTCAGAGAGTGAAGTTTATGGTGCCTATCTGCGTTCAAAAATCAATCGATGACATTGTAGTTTGCGAAAATCCGTCGGCCCGCTTATCGTGTGTGACATCTCACGATCTGGGGGTCATCGTAATCCCTAAGCTAAGTCACGGAGAGAGAAACGCGTTCGGAATCCGGCGTATGGGCCACCTACCCAGATGGAGAGATGGCGTTCTAGATATCAAAGATGTATTCGACACTTCAGAGGCGCGAGATTTCCCGCTCCCTCCCTCCCGTCGGTGGGTAGGCAGACTCATTCGTAGCCAGCGATCCGCTGGCTGCGTGTGTTGTATGTCGTCGAACGACGTTACGAGCTCACGATCAACGATTCGAGGTCCGAAGACAAAGCAACGAGAGCCGAACAGACCAACTTGCTCGAGACTGACGATGTGACTGAGAGTTGCGATTTTCGTCGCGTGTTTGCGGAACTCATCGTAGCGGTCTCTTCCTTGTTTTTGAGGCACCATCCTCTTCGTCAGTCAGTCAGCCGAACGATCAGTCGGTCGGCGGCTCCGTTCAGAGTCATCGATCAGGATCAGCCTACGAGGCCCTTCGAAAATCTCCAACAACTCGCTTGCCTTCGGAGTAAACACGAACACGCGGAGTTCAGAACGCCAAGGCCGTCGGAAGTCTGAGCGGTTAGAAAAGCAGCCTCGTGCAACTTCCGGACAGATACGCTCTCGATTACCCGAATATGTCTCCGATCAAAAAATTTTACTCTACACTTTCTTTTTCGAGTGGCTGAAGAATATTATTTCCCCATTGAGACATGAATTCGATCGTTCGGATTTTCTCCCATATTTCTCTCAAAACCAGAGCGAACCTCGAGAGTTGGAGGTTGTCCGACGAGAAAAACGTTTTGCAAGGCTACTTTTTCTCCCAACGTACACCGTAGACTATTATGCACGCATGTATGCAGGGTGTCGCTCGCCGGAGAAATAGACTAAGCACACCGACCGTTTGTCGATCGTTTGTGTACCGATCGTGTCTCGTGTCCCTCTTGTTTACGGGGACGGACAAGCGAATGTAACAAGACAGAAATGCGAAATTCCAACTCCGAAAGCTTCTGGATGAAACCTTGGATAACTCGTGTGACTCCACTCGAGAATCGGTGAAATACGACCGAGATCTATTGAGCACTTGGCTTCTGTTGCTGTTCAGACCGAGGAGGAAAAAACATTCCGCCAAACAAACAAATCGATTCACGCGACCGATTGTTTTGGCCATTCTCGGAGGCACCTCGGAATGTGATCGGCCGGCGAAACTTTCTCCCTGTCGAGATGTCACTTTTCACGACGACGAGAAAGAGAAGAGCCTCGCGAGTGAGCGGGCAGAGATGTTCGACTTGGCGCATGGATTCTCGTTGGGCAGTGGATTCTCAGGTTCAGCGAGGCTTGCAGCGTATCCGCCGTCGTCATCCGCGTGAAGATCCAACGCCTAGGATCAGCGGCAGATCCAGGTTCCGACAAGCGCCATCGCATGCAAATGAGCTCAAAAGTTCGACCCTGCGAATCATGGCTTTGCTTGAATGGCGTTCGCGCGCTCACGGGGAGCCCGGAAGGAAACTTTCGATCTTCAAAAGGCGGGATAATGTGCGGAGGAGCACATGGGTGACACCGGACCCGGAGCGAAAGAGTTTTATGAGAAATTCGATATCTCCTTGTCAGAGGGCCTCGCGTCAATCAGTCGTCCAGTCAGCTCCGGGCAATCCGCTCGTACATTGTTGGACGATGTGCTTTTTGTGTCTGCACGTTTGTCTTCTGCATGCACTTCAAGGCTCATCCTCTTTCATGATCTTCATGAGGAGTGTATTGGGCTCCGCGCTCGACTAACGGACTTGCGTCGACTCTGCACATGCAGGGACGCCGTGTTTTACAGGATCCTGGCAGCCGTTCGCGTCTGCAGGACATTTGCAACATGCTGCAGCAACACTAAGCTCAGAGAACTTCACTGCGCATTGTCGGGCGACAATATTAGCGGTGGCTTAGACAGCGACCGCCATTGTGAGAGGCTCTCAGTGGAGTTGAGTTAGGGCCACTGTAACTCCGATGTATGCAAAACTTGGATTGGATTCAAATTTATGACTCTTGAGTTGGTCGGTTGGCGCTGTAAAAAACAAAGTACGGAATTCTTGCGCCGACTCGTCCATGGAGTAATGGACGCTGCGCCAAGCATGATAAAAACTCCGAGCCTAAAAGCAGTTTTTTGTTGGAGGCATCGCATCGAGAAGATACGTAGTCTCCCTCCGCATCGATGAAACATCGCCGGATTTTTTTCCGATCATCGCTGTAGGCTCATCCTCTCAACAAAAAAACAAGCCGACAAGGAAGACTGATTCCCGGGAATAATTCAGGTTAATTATTCAGAAAACTCGCCCATACTTCGTCCCAGTCACGGGTCATCCTTCCATTCCACTCGGATTCTGGTGATTCGGTGTTTCCACGCACATCGAAGTGTGATGACACGGCATCCATCTATCTATATATAATATGAATAATGAATAATACTATAATGAGCGGACAGGAAAGCTTTTTGTATGAATCGTCAGTTGTAATTTACACATTGATGAACAACATGATGATGTCACCCAGCTTGAGGGGCTATCGCTGTGATGCGATACTATCGAATGCTCGCGGAAGCGCGACAGGTCCTGAGTTTCAAGGTGAATAAGAAATGGTTTCCCATCGTCGAAAATATCATAGCTGAAAACCTCGACATCTTGTATTAGACGGATAACAAACTCCAAAAGTTTCAATAAGAATCCTCAGGGCTGCTTGTCCCCCTCAACTCCATGAGCTCGCTGAGATCTGCACGGTTTTTTTCGTTTTTTTTCTCGACCCCCCCCAACCAAACCAAGTTCCACCAAGCGAGACAATAGAAATTCCTAAACCTTCGTTAGCCTTGAAATAAGTTACGGAAACGAAGACCTTTTCGACCGAAGCTCAGAAATCGAGACTCCTCATGGCGAAAAACTGCATGCCATCAACATGAAATCCGGAGCGAGTCTCATTGCAGCAAGAACACGTGTACCTAACCTACCGAATGATACGGATGGGAGCTTTATTGCGACGGAAAGCCGAAGGAGTCTCTTACGGTATCCCGACTCAAACTAGCTAGCGAACAAACAAACATAGTGTACAATCGTTTATCCTGAGTTTTCATTCCTCCCTCCAGCACCACAGTTGCGGTCCGTAGATCAGGGTGGTGTTTCGAAATCGCCGTAGACCTGTCGGAATGAGACCTCCGAGGTTCCATATATGATCGGAGGACGTGGCGAGTGCAAATCTCGAGTGCTGTTATCCTTCGAAGCTGAAACCGCGGAGGAAGATATTATTCCCGCAATTCACACCAACAAAATATCTCGTTCGGTCGCAGGGGAGCGACAAGCCGAGTTTTTCTATCCCTTGAATTTTGAGCACTTACTGGACTGCAGGTACTGATAGTTCATCGGATGGGATGGCGCGAGGAACATCTGTGGATTTGTGGGCTGCGAGCGCAGGCTCTGAATCAGAGCTCGACTCCGCTCGAATGAGTTCTTGTGCCATCGCCAGAAGAAATACCCTGCGCAGGCGAGACCGATGTGCACCAATGACACAATGAAAGCTGTCACGATCACAGTCGTGTGCGTATCGCAAACGAAATCTTCTTCGTCTTGGTACACACTTGAGCCAGTTATGACTGCGGGTATCTCTGTGGACGGAAACGACTTGCATGAAAAACTATAAAAAAACTCATTGTCAGTCAGCTGGAGAGAGAGTAGCTTTCGGGGCTGCCCTCTTCTCAGCGAGTGACGGACCCGGAGAGGATCTCGAATCTTGAGAGTTCACCTTTTTTCCGGGTCCTCGATGTCTGGAACGGGGTTTCTCGATTCCAGTTCCTGTCCAGCACCGACTTCTGCTCTTCGTTGACGACGATAGCTAGAGAGAGAGGGACTTCTTCTTCTTTGTTATCGTCATTCGATATTTTGTTGTCTCTGGGCCCGTCCACCAAGTCCGCCGTGTGGCTCAGTGCTCCTTGGTTCCATTTGGCCACGCTGAGAATTTCCGGCGCTTGTGTGTTGGAACCAGCTCCAGATAGGCCGACGTCGCCCGCAGTTATCGGAGGCTCGGGTGTAGAAGTTTCGTTATCAGTCGAGTTCGAGAAGGGTGAAGTAACCAACCGCGGCGGTTCGGGAATGTGCGGAATCTCTCGAATGAAGCCCCGGTCTGTTGAACAGGTCACATGGAGTTAGCGCCTCTTAGATTTTCGAAAGAATTCTCCTCTTCTCAGAGAAGGTAAAATTGAACTCTGATCCGGAAAAAATGGAATACTCACAGACTTTGGGACCGGTATGATACGACCAAGGCGATGGGTAGCCCTGTGGGAAGGGGCGGGTGTATCGGAAGTACGTGTTCCACTGTGGCGGGACGTACTGCGCTCTCATTGGCGGCATATGATGCAGAGGGATCTTGTCGCGAATGAAATTCATTCTCGGGGATTGGGGTGGCGCTGCTGAACGATCTCGACGCGTATCTCTGCAATGACCATTTATTGAGAATCGTTCCAACCTCTCCGATTTTCGAATGAGCTCTGACCTCCGGAGTTCCACTCACAGAGTCACGTGGCTCTCGACTATCAGCGGAGGAGCTCTATGGTGTCCGCGGACGTCCACGGTCGACTTGTCGGAAGCGGAGTCCGCTGCAAGGGGGTCCGTGTCCTGGAGAGATACAAAACAGCGTAACTTGATGATTTATTCCTACTACTTCGAGGCGAGGAGAAAGTTGAATCGGACCGTAATTCGCGCAATCACTCGCCGCTAACCTCTGGGAACATTCGCGCGTAGACCTTTCCGCCCCCCATTCCGTAACCGCCGTAAGGCTTGTGAAGATCTTCTTCGAGCGTGAGAGACGCGTTGGAGATAATTTCATGGGAAGCGGCCGCTTCGATGGTTTCGTTGAGCGAGACCGGCTTCGCGTCGGTATCGTTCGCCGGAAGCGGCTCCGTGGAAAGGAGCTGGTCTTGCTGGAGCGTGGTTCCCGAATCGTCCGTGTATTCCTCATAAGACTCTTCTTCGGTTTCGCTTTCCGTATGATCGCTCTCGGTCGCGTTCTCCGACGCCATTGGTTTCAACCTGGCGATATGAGATTTGTTGTTCCATGAATGTGCTTGCTCTACGGAGATCGTTCGGAATCCGTGCGAAAAATAATCGTAGATCCTGAGGCCTTCATGCGAGATTTGATCAACGACAATGAAAGGAGCAGAACATATGCAAGAAAGCGGAAAAAGAAGGAGAATCGTGAAAGGATTTCTCACGTTGCGGTTTCGTTTCCGTCGACGTTTCGTCGCTTCCGACCGAATGAATCTCTACTGTTGTGGCACTTCACGGGCTCGCATCTCTCCTGACAGAAGCGGATCTGCACCTCGAAGTTGACCACGCCGGACGCGGGGAAACGGAAAGCTTTGAATGTTGATCGAAGAACCCTGAAATTATTGAATTCCGGCTCGAGCGCGGGGAAGACTGTAGCGCTGACGGGACAGCCCCGGTCGTCGATCAGGAACAAGGACTCCCCCGTAGAGCTTCGCGCGTAGAGATTCCGTGCGAAAATCCCGAAAGCCGACTCGGGATCCCGAATTTCTATAACAAGCGTGAGCTCATCTCCGAGACCGACGGCACTGGCATCGTGTCCCGAGTGGTCAACGATCCGCATTCCGACAGTCGGGGGTGGGGCAGTGTTGGCTACGATCGAAGAGAGTGTGGGACGTACACCGGTCCTGCGCAATGAAAATAGATTTTTCGGTCAGCTTAGCTCAAATCGCCCGAGAAGATTCATTATGAGGGATATAGGGTCTTAATATAGGGTCCTTCGTCCCGAATCCGGCTTCGCTTTTCTGGTTGAGGTCCTTATCGTATCGGCATCGAGCTCGGGACTGTTCACTGGTGCACACTTACGTGACATCGAGTCCCGGACCTCCTCCGAACGAGCCAGATATACTGTTTCTCGCCAAAGTCGACGCTAGAGTAACGGTTTTGTCGCTCGCTTCGAAGGAACAGACAACGCGTATGTTCCTATCGGTCTCGGTCATGATAACAGGATGCTGTTGCACCATGACCTCGTTGACGTATTTTCCAGGTCCTTCCGTCGTTGTCCCGCACCTCGTCCCCAGAGAGATGGGATACTGCATCTGATTCTGACCGTTTCCGACCACGTAACACTGGTTCGGATTGTTTCTTGAGTAGATGCGGCCGTGGAAGGGGGAGTCGAAGTTCAGAGTCAAGATCATTTCCTGCTGATTGCACTGGACGCTCACTGGAAAGGACAAATTATCTGTACATACATATCTGAACAATAAAATGATAAGGATAATGTCTCCTCCGCGTTATAGGTCGGGTCTTGAAGAGGAAATTCCCCGCGGAGGCGAGAGGAATCGGTGGTGTTCGGTATGAGAAAATTTCGCGGCAGGAAGACTTCTCAGCTTTCGCCTGGATCATACCTTGTTCACAGGTACCCTTCTCGCTGAAGACGGAAAATCTTCGAAAGATCAGTCCGCCCGCTCCGAGAGGATAACTTGAGAGGTCATCCGAACTGAGCGCACAATCGTGATGTACCGTTTCGAAATTTATCGATCTACACGGAAACCGTCTTTCGAGGTCGCACAGTCTCTGGCACTCCTGTATGCTGTACGCGTGCGTGAGACGATCTATAGAGGGCAGGAAGCGATCGAGGGTGTCTTGGTAAATGCAGGTGGATGCTGACTCGGCAGCGCAGAGATTTTCCAGATAATCGATGTCTTCATTGGTGTTCTGCAAGGTATTCGGCTTGCTCCGTTTGTTTTCGGAGAATAGGCGACACAGTTGCCGGCTTTGTTGGTAGGTCGCTGATTTGCAGATGAAGGACTTCTCGCGGAGACAGTAGTCCTCACATTCGGCCCTGCGACGAATTCCGGGAAGTTCCCGGTCGGGAGTGAGTTGCAAGTAGCTATTCATCGTCCGCTCGAAAGTCCACAGTTTGTTGCAGTGTCGCTCTGGAAACGATTTCGGTACTTCCGATAAATATTCCATCTCAACTCTCCAGAGTTTTCTCGCTCGGTGTAGCGCCGAAGGGATCGCTCATGATATCCCGACGGAGGTGGATGCGCGACAATAGATAAATTCTCCGATCTTCCCTCTCGACAAACCTTGGAAGCAAACTTTCTCGAAGTAGGCAGAGTTTGCTTGGACAGAAAGCCCGTTCCGGTTGTCTTCCGCGGCCACGGTCAGCCATGACGCGATTTGGAAATCGCCGTACTCGACGACGAAGGAGCGACATCGATCTCCGAGTCGTTGACATTCCGAAAACGCGTCATTGACCACTCCGACTGTGGCCCTGGTCGGGATCCTCTCTCGTGGCGCAAAGCGTAAATTATAACCGATTGTTTTCTCGTACGTGTACTGATCGAAAGCACAGAATGTGGGCAGATCGTTCGTGGGGTATCCACCGGTGTGGATCTGGTTGGCTGGCGACGGTGGACGAGGGGGATACGTGCTGCCCGAAGGTATGCCGGATGGTCCTTGATTATTGCGCCCTAGGGAGCAGGAATGCGCGAACTTCAAGGCGGGAAAAATCAAGAACAGAAAGAAGCAACGAAATCCAAGCGAAGCAGTGAGAGGGACAGAAATATCGATGAATGGTCTCATTAGAAAGATTCTTCCCTCTGTCTCCCAATCGAAGACGGAGCTTGAACGGCTCCAGGACGACACCATGGAACGTTCGCTTACCATTATAGTCGCCGGAAGTACCCGAATAGTCGGCGCAATCTTTTTCGGCGTACAGCGAGCGAGATCTGTGTTCGAGAATGCCCGGCGATACGGCTTGGCGGTTATCAGCGCTCAGAAGACACTGAGGAGGTCCGAGACTTCCGTTTTCGACGTACGTGTAGCTTCTGCAATTGAAGTCCACTTCGCGATTGCATTCGAGCTCACAGTGGAATGTCGAAGTCACTCCGTGGACCACTCGCGTTATGTGGGTCATGTAGACATCACGCTGGATCGGGGTGTACTTGCAAGCCGCCGTGACTGCGATAGAGAAAAATTCAATCAATCGAATGCTCATCAATGTCCTCCGGAGCCTTCCTCCCTTGTGATTTTCTCGAAGCAGCGACTCTCCAGATGTCGGCATCGGACACTTACGGACGGCGCATTGATTCTCGATGTAGTTCATCCCGCGAGCGTAGCTGAGTCGTGCCGATCTGTGGGAGCGGTCTTCTGCGAAGAGTTTACACTCTTGCAGATTCACGTCAAATACAGCGGATTTGCAGATGAAATTCCGTTCTTCCACGCAGCGTCTTTCGCAGTCGTGCATCGATATGTATCTCGTGACATCTCTCGGGTAAGCTCCGGTCAGCTCTTGATCCACGATCCGTTCCGTGGCCCACAGTCGACCCCCACATGGGACATTGGCTGCCGATGGAAGTAGAGTCAGCAAAAGCGTCCGTTCCGAGTTTTCCGGAACTTCGTTCCTGGGCCTCGGAGAGTCTCTCAATTATTCCAGTCGGACGCCCTACCTCGCACGCAAATGCCTTCGAAGTACGTTTTTGCAGGAGCCGGTCTCAGATGCGCGGGTGTCGATCCGCGATACGAGCCGGATATGAAACACTCGTGTCGCTTGTAATCGATGGTGAAACTCTTACAATCCTCTCTCTGCTGACATTTCAACAGACAGTCCTTGGTCATGCCGTCTGAGGGCGAAGTCAAAAGAATCTGACCCGGTCGAGCCGCTGACTCATGGCCGGATACGCGAGCGAACGTGAGCTTTTCGCCCGCCTGACATGATTGCGCTGAGGAAGAGAACGAGACTCCCGTTAATTTCGACCCGACCAGAAACGCGGTAGTCTAACCAGTTCTGCCCGCAGCCGACAGATAGTCTCCCTCAAACAGCCCGTGCCCGCCGTATCCCCGGTGTGACCCGATTCGGTTGAACGCTTCGTATCGAACACACGCATTCACGATATGCGGAATCGACATCGTTGAGCGCTTTCGAATGCAAGAGCGGCAGGAATAAAACATGAACGTGACAGCTGGGAAAAAATGCAGAGGTGCAAATCGATCGATCTCGATCGGTGAAACGATCTTTCCCTACTCCTCGCGTGAATCCACACCTCGAGCTCGCTCAGATCGAGAGCTAGGAGACCTGAGTGAGATCTGTGGGGAAGTGGCTGAGAGACAGCGACTTTCGGTTCAAATGCCATGCACGGGACGGACGACCACACGGAGGCTTACTGCTGTTTTTCGTAGAATGGATCCTGAGAGGGAGAGGAGATGCAGGATACTGCCTAGGCTGCTCTTTACCTATGGGCGGGTAGAGGGTGGAAACCGAAGATGACGGACTCGGAAACGACGCGGGCTCTCTGGTGGCGGATCCCGTCGGGATCGTGTTCAGTCCGGTATCCGTCGGCAGAGGGGATATTGTCGAATGCGTTTGAGAATTGTCATCGGTGCAAGCGCGTTCGTAGAAGAGAATCCCTGGTCTCGAGTTCGTGCTTCCCGGTCCCGCGGAGCTCCGATCGTCACCTGTGAATCGGCGTTTTACGTAATGTACCTGATTCGGTTCGCGTCGGAGTTTTCATCAGAGAATGATTTTGTCGAAACTCAACCGACCCGATATGAAACATTGTCCATTCGCGGGGTAGTACGCGTAGCTCCGACAGTGGAAGTTCGGGTAAGTGGTGCAAAACGATTCACACGCCTGCTCTGATACGATGCCGGTCGTGGCGACGACGTCAGTGTAGATCGGGTAGGCATCGGCTTTCTTTTCGTAGGGGCAAGTTGGTGACTCTGGAACATGACGATCACGTCAACATGCGCGCTCTCTCTGGAACGTTTCGCGGTAGAAGAAAACCGGAGACGCAGCTCACCTTCTATGCATTGATTTTCAAGGTAGTTTATCCTTGGGTTACTCGTCTTGATCACACCATCTGCCTGAGTTCGTCGGTCGTGTCGACTCAGACGACACTCCGCCGTGTCGTCGAAGTACACGGCGGACCGGCAATTGAACGTTTGCTCGTTCAGGCAGTGCTCCTCGCAATCCCTTCGGCTGAGAACATGCGAGAAGCTCTTTTCGTATAGCGTCGGAACCAACTCCATTCCGAGGACTCGTTCGAAAGCCCAAGCTTTCCCCTGGCAGGCGGTGGCGAAGTTTCCTCTGAGGCAGATTTTCTCGAAATAATTCTCCCCGGCTCGGGGGCTCAATTCCTGTGTTCGCCCTTGCGAGTTTCGGTCCAGTTTATCACATCGCATATTTTGATAATTAACGCTGAATGCCGGACAGTCGAGGCCAGCGCTGTGACAGTACTGCCGGCACTCAAGGGTGTTGCCCAAGGCTCCCGGACTGGAAAGCGGTATTGAGGTCCGGGCCGCGGAACGCATGACGAATCCCGTGATCTTTTCGTAGGTGAACACTCCTAGCGTACATTGCTCTGTTCAGAAGGAGGGTTAGGTCCTTAGACGTTAGAGCTCGTTTTGCATTAATATTTCCACCTTATACGAGGCAAGCAGAAGGAACAGGAGACACAGAGGGGAGCGGGACCCCCGAAAGTCGTGAATATATTTCCTGAACGGATCAGACTGAAATATCCGGCTTCCCTACGTACCTGTGATACATTTCTTCTCTCCGTACGCTGCATTCGTGGACGCAGGCAAGCCACTCGGACCCAACGAAACGGTGTCGTCTCCGGAGAGATAGCATCGATTCTCCATGTAGGAATACGCGCGACAATTGAATGTTGTCTCACGATCGCACTGTGTTTGGCATTCGTCGACCGCAGATGCGAATTGCAAGAGGTCCATGGTGACAACTCCAACCCCCACCCGGGTTTCGTATCGGCATGACGTCGGCGCTGATTAGAAAAGCATGTTTCGTTGGACTGGATTTCGGAAGGACCCAAACACAGCGCGAGCTCATGAGCGACCACGAGCAAGATTAGAACTGTGGACTGCATTCGATGCTGTAAGCTCTCACCTGTTGCGGAACATTGATTTTCAAGGTAGTCTCTCGAAGAGCCAGGAACTTGTCTGAAAGCCTGAGGTTGCGATCTGCGGTCTTCTCGACTCAGCTTGCAAACTTTCTGCGCTTCATCGAAATCCGCCGAGCGACATGTGAAGGTTCCCTCGAGCAAACACATCTTCGCACACTCCTCCTTATCCTTCACATTGAGTTCTTCTCTGGAATTTCGAGGAGAATGGGAAGTTGTTGAATCCCTCCCTCGACCACAGGTTGCCGTCGCTCGACATCCACATGTCTCTCGGGAGACTGTCTCACCTATGGACGAATCCGTCGAGGTATGCTTCTTTGACTCTGTCGAAAGCCCAGAGCCGATCTCCGCACAGCTCATCGAAAGTGTGCTTTTGAATTCCTCGGAAACAAATCTTCTCGAAGTAGTTCAAAGTGGGATTATCAACGAGGAGTTCTCTTCTGCCCTGTGACGTCACTTGGAACGACGTACACTTGAATCCGACGTAGTTGAGTGAGAAGGAATTGCACTGTGATTGTTGTTTACAGAGGTTTATGCAATCTCTCGTGAGTGCGGAATCTTGCTGCTGGAGGATCGTTGTGCCCACAACTTGACCTCCGTAGCCCACGCCAGTGGTCTTCTCAAAACTTTCGATCCCTCCAAAACAGTTGTGCTCGCCTGAAAACCGGATCGATTTCGTTTCTGTTCCGCGGGATACGCCGAGAGATGAAGCAAAAACGCTCACGCTGTCGATGACTACGTACCATTGGCAAAGAGTGTGGAGTGTGCGAAGAAATACAGGAGTTCCCACCAGATACAAGGACTGAACAACAACATTTTTCTGGAAGACGGCAATTTTCTACTTTGAGAATGTTCACGCAACAATCCATGACCTCCGCGCGCCGGACTCGATTACTTGGCGCGAGCTCGGGTAGGAACATCAAGCATTGACCGGGTCTGTCGGAAACTCTAAAGTGGCCGAAATATTTGTTGTTTCAAGAAGTCCGCGGCGGACTTGCGAGGGGGGGGGATAGCGACGTTCCATGGACTTCGCGTGACATCCCCACCGTGAATAGCTATTATTACGCAGGCAGCCCATTGAAGTTTGATGACGATTCTCCCGAGCAGAACATCCAAACAATTGAGATCTGAGCTCAGATAACGGAAAAAAATGCCATGGAAGGCAAGCTTCAATTTCTCTGAAAATCTGATTGATTGTGAAGGGAGCAACGCCTTAGCACTAAGTTGGATTAGTGACCATTGAAGGTCTGTCCGTCAAATGGCGAAGTTTCGTGGCTGGATACAACAACTCTTCACCACGGAGTATGCGGACACAGGATTCCTTCGATCCGCTTCTCTCATCGTTCATGAGAATTCCGGGTCGATGGGCCTTCTGGACTTGGACAAAGATCTTCGTGTTTAGTCTGAAGGTCGATCGAGTATTAATGCCGGCTCCGTATGGATCACGCGATTCTTAGCGACCGGAAGGGGCTCAGTCGGATATTTTCAAACTTCAACGATAATCTTGATTTTGACGTCGAATTCTCCAGCTCTCGCTCCCTCGTCGGATTTGAGGACGAACGCGGAGAAATCCACGGGCTCGATATTCGAGCTACCCACGTTTTCCCCTGAAATTCTCCCGAAGCCAGATCCTAGCGAAATGTACCGACTTCGGAAAAGGATAACCTCTTCGGAAGTTATTACATCAGCGAAGCTCGTGGGGCATAGGTCGAGCTTTCCGGTACGATCGACTCGCGAGACAATTAATTTATTTCGATGCTCACCTCCGGGTATTCACGAATGCCTATCGAACATGCAGCGTGACTTCACTCGAGTGTTGAAGATGTTCATGATGAGAGCAACTTTCAGTATCCGGCTCTGAGTGGCACAGCAAAGAGCGTCATGTTAACTTCGTTCTCACAACTTTCCCGCGTCTGTCGTTCGAGATTCTTCGTCCCGGACACTGAAGATTCCGAGTAGCGGTCCGGCGTCCGAGGAACAGCTTTAGAACCCTCACCGATGCAGACACGAGTCTGCTCGAGCACCGATCGATAAAACTCTCCAATGTTATCCACGTCTGGAATTTATCCGATCGAAAGATAATTGAACCGACGGAGGTGATGCACTGTCAACTGAGGCCTGAGGTGAGATGATGCCCGGCCACTGTAATGACGCGGTCGTGTGAGTCGCACGGTGGCTGGATGGCTGGCCGGTCACTGGTAGACCCCTCACCTCAACTTCCTCTGGGTCAAAGCAGGCAGGCATACTGGCCGGGTGGCAGGTAGGACATTCAACACAGGATGCGCTTTGTGTGATCCGTTCGAAGGTGATGCCGAATAGTGGAGCGGTTTTTCTATTGCCTCAGACCTGGAAAACTCACGGGCTAATAAGAGCCGGGAACCCATCGAGATCTTCACGCTTGGAAGCTCCAAGATGAGAAAAAACTCTGGGAGAAATTCCGATCAAGATTCCTCAAGTGAAACTCTTCGATTTTTTTTCCTGGCGCGGAGTAGAGGAGACTCCGAGTTCGAACCCTCTAGAATCCGATGGAACGAGCCGCTGCTGCACCTCTCCCGGGGAGCTGGACCGTTATTCTGTGCATCGAATACTCCGTCGAGGGGATCTTGCTCAACTTGACTCTGCCCCACTGTGCGGTCATTGTTTCAATGGGAGGCAACAACTTTCACTCGATTCCAGTACCTCGTAATGCGCACTTTGTGCAATCGACGACGACCACCGAGAGCACAACAGCAGCCCCGTGGACACTTTCCATTGAATTACTTTCCGACCAGAACGGATTATTTTCCTAGACTGCCGTGTATTAACCAGCATCAGGGCCAGGGAGACTATACGACATTATTCGTGAGATCGGCATACATCGTGGTATTCAATGTCCTCGGTTCCTGAAGCTTCACGGAACTCTGACCTGAGTCTATGATCCAATCTTACGGTTTCGTCTCGAGAGATGTGAAGTTATCCCGAAAATGGATTTAAGTCTCGCATTTCACCGTGTCTTGACTGTCTCTCGATTCCCGCGTAGCTCATCTCCTCTTCATCTCGAAAAGTCTCATCCCAAGGTTCCAGATCGGCTGATCCAGACGGGTATTTGACCTGATCCGCGTCCGGGTGGGAGTTCTCAATCGCCTATTGTGCATTAGCTGTCGACAGAATGAATGCCTGACCGTTTTGAGCTTGAAATAAATCGAAGGGTCCGGTAGATCGCAACGCTTGTCGGGGTCTCGACTTCTGATGTTAGTTGCCCTAATTCCGAGGCTGCTCCAGAATTTCGCCGCCGCAAAAATGAACCGAACAAAGCCGCGCCGCCCGCGACGAATCGCCGCAGCATAACGCGTCTCGGAAATGTCACCCATGGTTCGTGGTGTGCGGAGCCGTCACTGGCGCTGCGGTTCACCCTCTTCACGACGCGGTGGTGGGAAGAGAAGAGCGGAATTCACCTCGAGACCGTACAATCCCATGGATCGAATTCACGAAGGAACAAAGACAAAACCAGAGAAGGAACTCGTCTGATCGGCGAAACTGACCCTGGTACATCCGGCCACGGCATATTGATTGGTGGTTCCCGATATTCCCGTCGACATATCAATGAGTAGCCGATCTCAGCAGAAGAACCTTGAACTCTACGGTTGGAAGTCGGGCGTCAGCGCTCGGAAAACGCGGCTATGCCGAAATTCGGCTAAAAGCGAAGCTCAGTCCCGTTTCCATTCCGCATTCAGAGGAGCCGTATTCAAATTCAAATATTCAGAGAGAGAGAAAAACATGAGCAATGACAACTACAAGCTTTTCTTCTCTAAACAGGTGGATCGTTTTCTCTGTTGCCGCATTCGGGCACAGAAGTGTTTCCCGCCACCATCGGTCACGTTTCAACCAAGTTTCGGAAAGCAACGACTGACAAGGCCATAGAAATATCGCTGCAATGAATTCCGCTGGGCAATTCCGGGACGGTGGGGGGTATCGAGCGCTACGAGCTCATGCGGACTCTCATATATGTATTTGCGAGAGAAGTCTCGGTGTACGCATGCCTAGCTTTCTCTGGGGTTCTCGTGATCGGGGTTTCTTCTTCCGATGAACCTTTGATGTCGATGGGCTCGAATATCGGAATCAATCCTTATTCCGGTCCCTACCGTCGATGTAAGAGGGGCAACAAACTATCCCGAAGTCCCGGATGACGAAGTCATCGAATGAGTCCATCGCCATAGTCGGCTACGATGGAGCAGAAGAGGCCAGAAGGGAATGGTTTTGGCTTCCCGTTCCTCGCGATGAATATTCTTCTGCGCGACCGTAAGCTTCAGTGGTCATCATACGGCGCATGCGCGACGAGGGAGGCTCACGGACGACGCCATGACGCTTTCTGAAGACTGAAGACTTCGGTCAGCTGCGAGATCTGCCTTCGTTCGTGAACAGTTCCTTCAAGAGTGGTGAATCAGAATGAGTAAGTTGATATTCCGTGTTTTTCACGCTCACTCTCAGTGAGTTTGGAGAAACTCGATACGAAACAAGCAGTCTTTCCCCATCCTGATGTGGCCATCGAGAAAACTCCGAGCGGACGGTCTGCTGGGGACTTCGACGACCCCTGTGATCGACGCTTATCTCGAGTATCAAAAGCTGTGATGACAACCGCTGAGTACGAGACGGCCAAGAACGGGAGAAGCATCTTTCGTAGTAGACAGATTAGTTGTAATATCTTCCGTGATCGGGGCTCTTATTCTTCCAGGGACTTCCGAAACAGAGTCCTAGTCTCGCTGCTGCGTAAAAGTTCACGAAGTGTCCTGGCAGCATCATAAAATTAGAGCTTAAGATCACTCATAAAGAATCATAGTCCTGCGTGTTCCATCGGGGGATTTGATTGACTATGAATCATCCCGATAAGGGTCGAGACACGGTGAATGCCATGATGCTCCCAGAAGCCTATCTTGTCGGTCGGTGATTCTCTCGATCCACCAGGTCAACGAGTGGGAATTGAGTGGGAAGTCTTGGGCGCTGGTCTCGGACATCCACCGGTCAGTCCATGGATGGCGATTGTAGTCGAAAGAAGTCAGCCGGCGTCGCTCGCTCCTTTGTTCTTGAATTTCGGATTTTCGTCGGGCCCGCTCCGGTATCATTTTCTTCTTCCATCGATTCTAGTCCATGGATTGGACATGGATCACTCCAACGGCTCATCGACTCGTTTGCCGTCAGCTCGAGCGGCCGGACGAAACTTCTAGTTTGCAAATGCTTGGCAGCCAGGGGAAAGGCTTTCAAAGTATCGAAAGCAAACTCGGCTCCCGACAACAATGTCACCGGATCATCAGGTCACCGAGCAAAGAGACTCGAACAGCCCGACAGATCGATGCTGTCGGGATGCTACCTGTCTGCCGATACATGGAAGTCGGATCTAGTTCAGCCGGCGGCCATTCAGGATGTCGTCTTTATTCCCTTTCGCGGGACTTAACCACACGTTGTGACGAGCTGCTTTGGGTTCGATTTCCAATGAACGGAATGAGCGTGATTTCGAGGGGATGAAAAGTTCCCCCAACTTTGCTCTACACCGGTTCCTTTTGTTCAGTGAACATTCTATCGAAGCGCACTTCCACGTAACTTCCGAAACACCTTAATGGGCGACGATTAGGAAATCGGGCCGCGGTTTTGTTGTATCCGTCCCGAACTCCAGCCAGACTGTCGCTCACTATTCAGAATGTCGCTCACCGGAACATGACGGCAACGGAGCCAAGCGACTTGAAGTAATTTGTGAATATTTTTTACAGGGAATATGTACGGACTGCTACTCCTCATGGGAGTAAGTACCTGCTTCGAGTCTTGACGGAACCATTTGAGCAATTCGAATCTCTCGGAGTCCCGCCATACAGACACTCCTCTTTTCTGGGAAATATTCTCTCAGAGGGTGTCGAGAAACAGTCAACTCATTCGTGCAAACACTTGAAATTCAGGTAGCCACCATCGCTTTCGGTGACCTCGTGCGGAAGTCGATCGTCTTCGATCAAGACACACCGAAAGTCTTCTACTGTCCCCAGGAAAAGCCACGAAAACTCGATAAGCTCGTGGTCAAGGTGAGCAACGAACCCTCCATCGGAATCGTAGTAATCTAATTACCAGTGTTCCGGTCATTTACTGATTTTCTTCAAATCCAGGCCAGACCGATAGAGAAGCTGTGCGAGTTCCATGGGAAACCTCTGCCGAAACTATACGAGAGCGATTGCTACAACGACGTTGACGAGAGCGAATACGCCTGTCAGGAGAAGAAGCGCATCATGGTGAGTGCTCGACTAGTTTTAGCCAGAGCGTTCGGATCACGTATGTCCTCACGATACCTCTCACGTCATGGTGAGAACAACACGATGGTGCTCAGTGAAAAGAAAACTTCCGTGGTGAGGCTGCGTATGTGCACTCCGCATGTTGGAATTTCGCGATGTAGAATACCGAGTTTCCGACGTGAAATGCAGTTTGGCTCCAGTAAAATGCAGTTGTTCCGAATCGGTGGCTTCTTCCAGAAGCTTTGTAGGACTGTGCAGAGGGACATGTCGCGCTTAACCTACCTGTCGGAGCATAATACGGAACGGCTTGTTTCCATTAGGCGGCTCGCGACAACTTCCAATATCGTTCCATACATCGACGCAATGGCGATGATCGCCCCGCGAGGGGGAATCGCGTCGCTATGTTCCGCGATAGACGGGCGCGATGACCTCGACCCATTGTGTCACATGAAACGCCCTTTGAAGTTGAATTTTCCGCTTATAATTGGCTTAGGGTCCGTGCTCGGGTTTTCAATAGAGCCGATACCATGCCCTTTCGCGGGCGTCTCTGAATGAGTAGCTCATTGAAACATGAACATAGTCTGTGCGGAGTTCCGACCTCTCAATGTCGTCGGCTCTTTGATGAAGTTCGCGCCGTACACGGAGTCTGTCCTTCACGCGCTAAACAAACAGACGATTTGAATATTCTTCATTCCAAACTGGATGACTTGCCATAAATCGCGTGCGGCGGCTTTCGGATCGAGTATGACCTATTTTTCGCGAGAAGACAGCTGAACCCCGAGCTGGGTAAATAAGCTCTGATGAATTTCATGACACATGATACAAACTCCTCAGATGGTCACCGACGCGGAGAGAAGGGATGGATGCACTTTGCGGAGTTTCACTTCATACAATTCAGATCATGCACTCTATCCGAGACTCCGTGATCGATCTTGATCGAAATCTCCCTTCTGAGAGCCGAAGGTTTCTGGACCCGAACGCAGAATGAGAGCCAAATGGAAATTATCTATCGCAGTCGGCGGGCTCATTCAGATATGGTTGCTCCAATAGACGGCCGTATGAATGAGCACATTAAACCGCGACGGCCGGAAACGGGCCGGAAGCTGGGAGCGAATCCGTTGGAAAAGTTCCGTCAATTGACTCGAATTAATTAGAATATGAAAACGGAGAAGGCGAGAAGCCCGATCGAGCGACTCATCTATCCTGTTTCTGAACAGGTCTTCAGATCATCGTCGCATCGAGCTGGCGGCCAGGAGAGCATCGATTGCTTGTCCTTGAGCTAATCCTTGATAGCCGTATATCGGGAAACTAATATTCATTCCTTGCAGAAACGCATCAAAAAACTCGAAGAGGCAAAAGCTGAGGCGGAAGCTCCCCCGACTCACAGGCAATCGAAGAACAAGAAGGTCAAAGGGAAGAAAGTCAAGCATCACAGGGGTTATTAGAGAGAAGACGCGTCCGCCAAGATGGGCGAATCTCTTGAGAATAGTGTCCAAAACTGAAGCTTGCCAAAACCATCGAATGTAATCATCATGAGCAGCACATAGGTTTGGGAAACTGCCATTATGATTATGAGAGTTCATCATGTATCGCATCGGATGTCCGTTGAGACTTTATTTATTTCCCTCGAACCGTTATCGAGGTACTTCCTTCTCGATAACTATATCATATATCATTGTGAGATCGACTCTTCGTAAGATACCTTAAAGTAAGCAATATTGAATAAAACGATTCTCACATTCCGTGTTGTGCATTTCCTCCATCCCTTTATTCATTCAGAGGAAGTATTCTCTTCCCCGCCGATTGATTAACTCATTGATGTGTGATCCGTCCCCTGTTCCCCCGAGAACCCCTTTGTTTCTCGCGCGCATCACACAAACGTCGTCGGCGAACAGGTGTGTAAGTCGTTTCCGTATAACTTCCAGTCGAGTGATGTCATGCGATATTCCAATTGATTGATTGGGATAAGGTTCATTCGCCCTTTATATGTTCCGTTAGGCGACTTAAGCAGTGGTGAAACACGTAGAGGCTCATCCTCCACATTTTGGAGATTGCGCGTTTATCACAGATTTGTCACTTCTGTCACAAACAATAGTGCCGGAGCGCCTTGATCAATTTTTTGCCCTCTAAAGAGCTAATTTGTATTAGTCGCCAGAATTTCCTTCGGATCGCCCTCCGGGATCACCGTCAATCTGTGCCGAGGAACAGCTCATCGTATTCTCGAAGTGGTTCCCCCACAGCTTGAGATCCAATCACACAAGAGCTTGCCACTGAACAACTTCACGTCTCGGTGACAACTTCATGCTCTCCCAATGCCGCAAGCATGAGCCTTTAACGCCGCTTCCGAGTGTAACCTTTCCGAGGTACTCGCGGGGGCTATCCTGGAAGCTCGCCGTTGGCGACACAGGGGTCTCGGGCGAGGAAACGCTCTGAAAATTGAAAGAGGACAATAGTTTTCAGGAAAAAATCCGCGGTGGAGTCGTGGGATTGTCTGTCAAGAGCCCCACTGACGGGTAAACCCATCACCTGAGCATACATTATTCTACACCCCGAAGACAATTCCTCACCAGACATGAAGCGCAAAGCACAACGACGAAGGTCACGTTGTCAATTTCGCTTTGAGGAACGTCGAACGTGAGGCTCTCGTCAAAGTTCGGGCTCATGGTCCCTACAACCCTGGGTGTCGACTTCTTGCGCTTCACTAGTTTACCGCCGTGATAGAGCAGCATTCGGAAGACGAGTTCTGCGGTGCGGAGCAGAAGATCCCAGTCCCGAAAGGGAACTATATCATGCTCATCATCATAAATATAAATCATGACCTATCTCTCCAATGAATCCTTGGAGGATCCGAGCTCACCGGTCATTTCCTGGGCGTTCGATTTGTTGATTTGGATATTCGTGCAGCTCAAGACTCTGATTGTCAGCCGTTCCGATGTGGGCAAATAGTTGAGACCCATCTGAATTTCTCCGAGGTGCTGCTCATGGAATTCGACCCATCTTAGCCGGTATAGAATTTCCTAATGCTTCGGAGTTGATCATAATCGAGAGCTCTCAGAGGGAATACTACTGGGAGCTTGGGCCGGACAGCTGTTCATTTTGAGTTCAGGCGAATATTCGAGCGAAAAAATCAGAATCAATCTCAGAATCGGATTCAGATCTACGGAACGGGTATACGAAGGCAACCAGAAGACATGCCGGTATGGCTAGAAGTCAAGACATGCAGGCAATTGAGTAAGACGGTCACGTTCCGTACCGTAGAGGGCGAGGACAGGTCGAGGGTCACGATATGCTCTTGAATTTGTTGCTCGAGATCGTATCGCTTAAGCGGAAGGATGGCTTCTCCCAAATTGCTATGATTCGAATATTTCTCGGCGTCGAAAACCTTAACCCATAAACCTCCTTCCCGGATGTCCGTCAGCGTCACCGGCACGAGGAATCCATCATTGAAGAGCGGGCATTGGGTTTTGCGTCGGACCTACAGCGGGAGCGAGCAAGAAGGGAAGAAGTTAGAAGAGAGAACTCGTGGCCCTCCCAGCGAGCTCCGTCCCCGGACGAAGAGAGAGCTAATGAACGAACTATCCCAGCAAGACTCGTCAATATAAAACACCTTATCACGGATAGCGTCCCTCGTCGCCGAACAACTCGGAGCGATGCCTTTATTTTTGCATATAGGAATGATCTAAAGAATCCGTGCCACTCCATGAGACCGAGCGGCTCAATTGGCAAGACGATTGGCCTCAATTTGGACTAGATCGACTGCTGCTCGTCTAACTCTCCTCTATACCTGTGCGCGGATTGACGTCTTCCCGATACTCAAAGAGCTCATCTCTACAATGCGTCAGGCATCAGGCTATTTGAACTCTATGCACGGCGAAATTCGGTCGTTCACTCGGAGGGAAAACGTCTCTGGCATGCCGTACCTGTGTTTTGAATTCACAAATTTTGGAGGGACCTTTCTTCTTTTTGCGCATTCTCCTTACGTCCCGCACCACCTGAACAACAGCGTAAGGATCGCAGAGCCCACCGTAGGGCCGCAGAGGTAGGTCTTGCGCGTCCTGAAAAAGACCAACCCGATGAACATTATCGGATGGCTCAAGCTCCGTCAAGAAGCTTTCGCTCGGTTTGAAGCATATGCCGTCGATGCGAACGAAAACTACGAGAGTCGAGGGAGGAATTCCGTTTGTTATATGCAAGATGACTCACAGAGTCAGAGAACCCACCTTAACATTGACGCCCAGCTGACCAACAATGCGTTCGTTCTCGAGATCTGGCTGAGGCAGGAACCGTACCGTGATCGTGACGTGTCCCTGTACCAGGCCTTCCTCGGGGATACTCGTCTCGGGAATGGAATCGCTCTGGAATCGACTTTGTTCATTGACCTTGATTTTATTCTGTCCGGTCCGGGAGGGACAACTGTTTCCAAAATACACAATACCCTTTCGGACATTCCTTTACTCTTTTGCCGGACTGAATCCTAAAACTGTCACGTTGCCGAAACTGGGAATTACAGCCAGGACGATGTGCGCCGCCGAAAATGAGGCTCATTCTAGCGGACAAATGAGCGAATGGGACTCTAGGATGCGAAAATGCGATTCTATTCGTCGGCTTGCAATATGTGGGAAGGTATCGCACGGCTGGCGCTCAGAACCGACAGCGACGGATCACTCTGAGCGAACAATCGGCACTGGCGAATCGACGTAGGCGCAAACTCGCTCAGCCTTGTCAAACTTTAGGCCACGCAATGAGATGGAACGAGGAGATGCCCAGATCCAGGCGGGAAAGAAATCTCGTGAACTTCACTTACGATTATGGAGGCGTCGCCGCGGCTGCCGCTCGACATGGAGGAGTAGGTGGAGTCTCTTACTCCGCCTCTTTGGAAAGCGAAAGTCGTTGTGGCTTCCTTTTTGTCCTCTTCATCCTCGGTTAGAGATGGCTGACTTTTCCTCATTTCTGGCGAGAGAACAGCCAGAGGGATCGGGATCCCCATTTGCTGCGCAGCCTTGATGCGCGCAGCACGCTCTTAAGGAAAGGGATTCGAATCAATGAGGTAATACATTTGTTCCATGCTGTTCATTGACCATTAGGTGATGGCAGGCGCTCGACCGTATACGTTTCGCTTCGGAGGCTTTTTCAAGAACAAGTTTCCGCAGGAAACAAGAGCATTCGTGTGCTCTTAACTGACCTCGTTCCCGTTTGCCCCATATTTTTCTGTGTATGAAACATGTGGGCTGGACGATGCATACGGTCGCTGCCAGTACGAAAGCGACGAATCCGAATCCACTCGCGATGATCAGGAGTTTATCCCCGTCAGTCAAAGAGTCCGTGCGAATCATCTTGAACCTTCGGAGACGAATTCAAAATACTTAATCGTGGAATTGAGTCCTACAAATCTCGACATCAGTAGAGCTAGGTGAAATGCATTTCCACATCTCCCGCATCGATTTCCACCTCCTGCTCGCGAAATATTTCCTTGTGAGTCCCAGAATGCTTTGCGGAGACATCCCCATGAGGACAGTCCCCGACTTTAGCGAAAGTCACCTGGGTTGTCACGAGGGAAGCCTCTCACAAGCAAACGGCAAACGGGAGCTCTTCGTCGGGATGCTATTCAATTACCTCAGAGACCTTAGACGCAAATCCATCGGGTCAGCGATAAAACGTCGAATTCACATCGAATTACTCGACGGTGACGGATGCATAGATTGCTGGTCGATCGTCTGAAGCATTTCGTGATCCGACAGACACCGGTACCCACGACCAGCAGTCAAGGGGCATCAAGTGTGAGACAGTCGGCTGATCTTGTTTCGTCTTGACGCTGTCGAGACTCGAGCTCGAATTTTCAGGCCGCTCTCCTGGGATCCCTATTTCCAGGCATGGTGTGCGTTCGCACGAGCCGGAGAACCCAGGACTGGAAGAATCTCTATTCGAAACCGAGCATCGGCTGCGGATGCCCTCTGCCGGATCCGTCACCGAGGATCGTCTCGATCTACGGTTCATCGTCATATAATGATCCTCGAAGTCATTGTTATGCGGGCTCTCGTGATGTCGGCGAGAGCCGGCTGGATCACTGACTCACCGGAGACAGCTGTTTGAGCAAATGTCCAGCTGCATTCGAATTCCGTATATTGAAACCCGAGAACTTCCAGAATGGACGTCGGAGAATCTCGAGAATGTTTCCCGTGAGGATGACGACGAACGTAGCGGAATCGCAGCTTTGCAGGAGATCCCCTCCAAAGCCGAGCCGACTCAGGCCCCATCTCGACAGCGGGTTTCGAGAAATGACGCCACCAACTCTCGGGTTGTTAGGAGCTTTCTCCCGCATAATTCTCAACTCGTCGGTGGAGCTCAAATGACGGACTCTGGAGAACGATCACTCATCGAGTTTTTCGGAGATACAAGAGAAATCAGCACAGGGAAACCCCTTCTCACAAGATTCCGCCATCGGGTGGAATTCGAGTGCACTGATATACTTTCGGGAGGTCCATCCCGGTGAAGGAGTGAGGACATGGTCGGGCACTCATACGCTCACGTCAGAGCGGTCGACGTTTGTCGGCCTTGCGTCCTTGATCTTACGCGAGGCTCGATCGGAATCACATCCTCCCGGGGAAAACACTACGAACGCGACCAGATGCTCCGTTTACATCTGACGTTCGATCGGAGCTCATTGCGAATCATGATCACTCCCCGCTCCGAAAGTCGATGCTTCGCCTTTGATTACAGCCTGGGTTTCGCTGACTCGGCTTCAAAGTCATTTCGCAGCCATCCCGTTGAAGTTTATTCCTGAATCCTCTACATGACATCACCTGAGTGAGTGTTGCTAGGCGCTCCTGTAGATAAAGCCTGAACAAACATGCGTGGCGTGCGTCTGAATTCTGCTCCAGAAGAAACATCGAGTAGCAGAATTAGAACGCGGAATCAGCGGAAGAGACATCCTATCCAGACAGAAGTTTTTTCCGATCACTTTTTCCCTGATGCTGTCAGAGCATTCAGATGGATTCCGAATGATGACTTCCTTTTTCGAGATCGGGGAGCCTAGACCCAGAGCAGTGAATGGAAAGCGACCAACGCCAATCCGGAGGTTCTTCAAGCAGGAAGAGAAACTTCCACTCGATATTTCGACCGAGACCCGACGCTCAGCGGAGAAAAAGGTCTTTCTCTAGCTCAATCGATTTCATTCGAATTGAAATTTCTCCAGATCTTTGGAACGATCGCAAGTCTGTACCTCTCAGGACTCCGTACTGCTTCATCGGACGCAACCGTCTCTAAGCGCAGACATTCAGAACGCAGAGGATGTGCTAAGGGAGGTCTCTATCAACCGACTTAGATTTTTCACGTTAGCTACGATCTATTCGAGCGGAGAGCCCGCCGCAACTATCTCTGGGCCTGCCTTGGGATGATTGTTCCGAGAGGTTTACCTGTAGCGATCCCGGGGGTCTACGCGTAGAAGTTCATCGTGACAGCGCGCAAGGCCAGCGTGTCTTGGCTGAGTTCTCAATTTTGAGTTTTCGGTAAGAATGGAACATCACCCAGACGTCTCAGAGATCACTTCTAGCCAGCACAAGAGCCAGCTCACCATGCGGCGCAGTTCCTCGCCGGACTGTCGATCCCAGCAGATCAACGTGAAAACCTGCTGATTTCAAGGGAGCGAAAGGACGACGACGTCGCCCGGAACTTTTGGAGATCGTTCCTCGATTGGCCGTCAGAGGGCGCCTGCTGAGAATGGCAGGCCACAGAAGGGTATGCCAGGCCTTATGGAAGATTCTTGAGTCTTCCAGCTGGTACTCTGGGAGATCCGCATTCTCGATACGTGATGCCCAGTTTTCTACCTTAGACGCGTCGCCCGAAGGACTATGAAGGGGCAATCTCTGTCTCGGACATGTATCTACTAGAGATGCAGGCTCAAGCAACCGAAGGGGTAAATGCGGCCGTCTGATCCGAACTTCGAATAATTTATTGCATGACTCGTCGACAGTGCGTTCCGTGAGGCATTCCGAGAATGTCAGGGAGTCGATCAGATGAAGATCTTCTCTGTCACGCCGTTGCTGAAGTAAACCATCATAGCCCGATATCCAACCTGCACGATCAAGAGAACGACCACCTTGGCTACTTGCTGAAGCACGCCTGAAACAAGGGGTAATCGAGAATTGGTGCTAAGACTGATTGCCTGCCATCGCCACCTTTTCCGTCCTCAAACACAGCATCGTAGGCGGTGAAGTACATATAGTGCGGTATGAGAGGCAAGGGATGAGGTATGACTAATCAATATGCCGGAATCAGGAAATATCCGAACCCGCGAGATATCGGAATACATTGGGGCGGGGGGTAGTCTGTCACAGGGGGGGAGGGGGCGGGCTCCCCAATCGCTACGCCGCCTTCTGGAAACCTCTGCCTGGAGTCATTATTTCCCGGAGATCCAAGGCAATTGGGATAATTTTCGCGGAGAGGTTTGACAACACGATTGGGGTCGGCTTCCAATCTTACCCGATATCCCTGATGCGATGATTGTAAAGAGTCCGAAACCACTGACTGAGTCTACATACCAACAGTTTTTCCGTTCAAGCCCGTAAAGCAGACCTGTGGATGCCACAATGCGTTAAGCGGGACAATTCTTCGTTGTGAGCACCGAAGCCGGCCAGGACAGGTATTGATTCCATGCATGAGATGGGCGGTTTTGAGAGGGGCCATGGAGAAAATGGGAGGGGACAGCTTGGGATACATAGGATCAAGAGCGTGCGGGTTTGGAAATCGATAAAAATCAGTTTTTGCGTAGATCGCTAGTAATATCTGAGACGGTTTCTGTTTACACGACCGAGGTAAAACTTCGAGAGAGGCCTCCCGGGATAGATACCGGGGAAATCCTCAGTGCGGGAAACATCACGTAAATCGGAACTGGAATAGATTGCCATGGAAACTCACAAGTCCTTCGTTCCATTCACGGTTCTCAGGCTGAAAACGTGGATTACCATCATTGGTCGGAATGATTTCGGCGTTCAATGCGAAATCGATCCGGGTAAGGTACGGTGTATACGGTTATGGGGATACAATCATCCTGACTGACTTACTCGGTTGTCACCTCCGGTGAAGCATGCCTTCAGCTGTAAGCAGAAGCGAACGACCGACGTTAGATCATGAGAATGGGGAGCCCGATCATCGCACAAACCATGTACCGCGCGTAGACTAGGACTTTCGTACGCGTCCGGCAGCAGGTCCCAGCGCTCGGGGTAGAGGAAAATACCTCTGTGATCAGAAGGCATCGTCTGTCAAACAGGGCGAAAGAATCGAAACAAACCTGCTCATCGAAGTCACGAGACCGGAGCTGAATGCCCATGAGGCATCTGCGAGTCTGCTCAATGGCCTGAAACGGGAACAGCACAATTGAGGGAGCAAGGAGGCTGCAAGCTCCCAGAAATTGGATGAATCTCTCGCATTACATCAATCGGTCGGCTCCGACTTCCCCCAACGTACGTGTCCTGCTCCTTTCGAGATTTTAGCCAAGCATTCGCTTTTCTCTTTGATCCATTTCGAGGCATCGCCTTGCGCTTGCTTCGCTTTTCTAGCGAAAGCCTTGGCCTTACACTTCACGAATTGCCAGGCTGGGGTTTGGCCCAGTTTGCAAACGGAGCCTGACGAGCATTCGAATGAGTTATTGCTTAGTTTCTGGAGAGCTCCGAGGGGAACTTCGATTTCAGAGAAGCGCGCTCTCTGATCATTGAGTTGGACCTGCGACAATCTTCGCTGTCGCGAAAGGGCGGGGAAACGTCGGGAAGAAAACTTACCGGGTGTTTCAGGAGGATTGAAATCGGGCACGAAAGGAGTCGCAGCCGGATCTGCATCTTTCCAACCGAAGTCCGGAGTTGTCGAGGGGGTTTCTTCTCGCTCGAGGGTAAGTATCGTTGTCGTCTGAGTTGGGCTGCCTGCCGCTGGACTTGGGGGAGCTCCGGGAACTCCCGCAGAGCCGGTTCCAGAATCCTTGGAATCTCTTTGGCCGAACGGCGCCTCGGAGAACTCTACTCGAGAAGGTAGCTCTTATCGCGCATGCATTTTATCCTCAGGGGTGTATTTTTTCCTGATGCGGCAGGATAGTCAAACTGACAAGAAAGTCGGGTAGGGAATTACCTGCGGTCGTGCTCACAACTCCGCCACTCAGTGTCGTCACCTCGAATTCCCTTTCGCGCATTGTTGGGACCGGATCGTTAGGTATCGCGTTCTCCGATGGATTCGCATTCCAGGTATCGACTGCGCCTGCAGAGTGTAGAATTTCGAGAAATGTGAGACAGTTGACAGAGTCGAGCGGACCGAGACGTTTCAAACTCCTCTTCACGGGGAGCGAGACTCCCCTCGCCCAGGAGACCCCATGACGAATGTTCATGAGGATCAATCGTCCTCATTTCCAGCATTCCATCCGATTCTCTGGCAAGCGTACGATACCTATTGACGATGTCGATTACGGATCTTGAGCGCACATTTGAATTTGACCGCGCGAAGAACCCTCTCCTAAGGGTGGCCGCGTAGCAAAATCTCGACTACGACGACGACATCCAGTGGTAGGGGGATTGCTGCTAGCGCTGCTCCTCATCGCGGAGAAGAACGAGTGAGAGAGTTCTCTCACTCTCTTTATCTGTCTATGTGTTTGGAGTTCCTCCGTGAAGTCTCATCCGCAGACGAGGTTCTCTTCACTCCAAGCAGAGTTCCGATGGCTGACTAGGGAGCTGTTCCTGTCGACGTCAACTTTGTTGTTCCTCCAAATCAGCGCTCGTCGTCTCATTCTCCCAAACCATCATCGTCGGTCGGCTCCTCGTTTGCCTGCCAGGCTCTGAGCCAGCTTGCCAACGATCTCGTCGCTACTGTAAACGTCAGCTGTGAGTGTGCTCCGTGCAGCCCCGACGAGCAGGGTTTGACAGCGCCCGAGAAGAAAAGTTCCAAGCAGTGAGGAGAGTCGCTGCCACCGATACCAGTGTCCCGATGGCGAACGCCCCGCTCGAGACCGGGGCGGCGGTGGCCCCCGCGGTGCACTCGAAGCCTACGGGAGCCCCAAAGACTCCCGAACGAACACCGGGAAAAACGCAGCAAGATGATGAGTTCCTCGTCGAGTGGGGCTTCGATCTCGACACGCTCTACAAAATGGCCAAGCAATTCTTCTGGTGAGTTCGATCATCATCGCATGACGGGAACAGGCTGAACGACACCGACAGTCGGCGGCGGGGTCGACATTAGAGTCGTTCAATTAATTCTCCGTGCAGATGTGGACTGTTGTTCGATGAGCTGAAAATATTTCGAAGCCCGATCCTCAGCTGTCTATTATTGCATGTTCTGGCGGAAAGTCTGTGCGCAGACACGTCATCCCAACTCCGCGGCTACCTTGATGCCGTACTGCCATCATCTCGATTGAACCTGTTTCTAAATTGGAGCCGGAGACACGAGCACGAGACTCGATGCGGTCGCGTGGCACGTCAGAGCTCCTGTTGAATGGAAGGCTCCCCTCCCTTACTCATCGATTGAGCTGCGGCTCGATTGGAACGGATCACAGGCTACGGATATTTTTCCGCCATGGAGCCCGAGCGCCGGCTCTTCTCGAACTTCACCATGGCTTCGATCCATGATTCCATGATTCGACTGGGCTGTTCATCCGAGGAGTCTCTCCTCCTAACACTCGACCATCTCTTTCCAGTCAAAACGTGGGCAAGGCTTTCCATGTGTCCTACGAGGACAAGACTAAACTCGTCGCCTACACCCAACAAGTCAAACACGGCGTTTACGATAACTCGAAAATCACCGCCGTCGGCTACCTGGACGTCATCGGCCAAGTAAGATCCTCGTTCCGATTCCTGAATGATTATTATGCGTGCTCGAGCGGCGAACCGAATCCGCCTCGCTGGATCTACCACGAATCAAGAGCGAATGCCGGCTTCTGACGGATTTCGGTCAGAGCTGTAGATTCCACGTTCATAGACGACCACAGCGCTATTTTCACATGTCGATGTGCGTCTGCGTTAGAGAGGCCATTTGGCACTCGGCCAACCAGCTGTCCATACAACAGATATCTCCTGGAAAGCTATCGACCCACCACACACGTCCGGCCGTCTGGCAGTTCCCTACCCGCCATCCTCCATTCAATTCATCACGCGACCAAGCATTCATATCGTTTGTCTGGCGGTAGAAAATCTCTGAGAGTCTTTGCGCGATGGAAACCGATCCCTGCGGATTACTTGGAACGAAACATCGATCTTATTCAAAAACTTCGCCAGGTGGAGCGAAGTTGTGAGGAAGAGGAGTCCTTTCAAACAGTATTTCAACGAGCCCGCCATTATTTGTAATGGTCAGATGTTGCTTTTAGGTTCACGTGAATAGATATGCGGGCTCGTACGAGATTGATTTGGATGACAATCGATATCATTATGAACGAAATGAAAGCAAGGTTGGACTCGCGAAGGTCAGGGGCTCGCTGGAACATTCGAAGTTCGATCAACGCGTCCCTACAAGAGTTCCTCTGACGAGAACGCTTCCGGAGAATCCGAAACATTCACGTTGAGACCAAATGTCCGGGAGATGTTAGCGATTTCTTCGTTGGCACGAAACAGCTATTGTAATGACCTTCACCATCATAGGATCGTCATGATGCATGGCTTGCGCTGGGTGACATGGATGCCACCACGGCGAAGCAAGAGTTTGTGGCATTGCTTCACGACCGTTGTCCCCTTTTCCGACCTTTCGTTTGCGCACACAAGGCGAGCTTACAGCAAGTGAGTTCACGACATTGAAGTTCGTTGACATCGAGGTGTATTGTCTTCGCAAGCGACTTCGGAGATCGCTCCCAATCCGATACCCCTGACGACACGTTTCCTAACAAGTCTGTGCTCCTGTTCCAGCAAGAGCAGATACAGCGAGAACCGCAGCAGACAGGCGGCGTGTCTTCGTCGCCGTCTTCCACGGCTTCCAGCCCAATCCATAATTCTAGTCCGAACGAAGAGCTGATTAGGGCCGCTCTTAATCAACAGACCTTCGGTCAATTCACTGCATACGCAGCCCAACAATATCCCCAGAGCCCTGAGCACCAACACATGGTCATCAAACAACTTCAAGAAGAACATTTCAAACAGGTCCGTGAATGTCCACCGTTCTTCTGCCTCCCACCGATACGATGGCTTCAATATCGCTGCCTGTATGATTTTTCATTCTTTTCTCGATTGTTAACCTCCTATCGATGACTTTCCCTTACAGTACATGCGACAACTGGCGGAACAAACGGCAGCGCTCTCGCTGAACGGTCACCGGAATCAGTCGGGACCGGCGGGGGAAGTAGCCCCGGGAGAAGCAGTGCTACATTCCGAGCTCCCGAGTTCGACGGTTACAACTCATTGCACTGAGATCCCCGAGAACGATGAACGCCTGCAGCCTTATCACGAGCACCACAACCACGGAACGACCGAGGTATCGGACAATGATTCGGACGAGGACGGTTCTCTAATCTCCGTTGCCGAACCGACGATGTGGACCCGGAAAGAAATCGTCGAGTTCAAAGAGGACATCAGAGAAGAAGGAGGTGACAGCATCATCAAGGTTGGACACGGAGAGACCGTCACCGTGCGAGTTCCCACTCATGCGGATGGACAGTGCCTGTACTGGGAATTTGCGACCGACACCTACGACATCGGTGAGAACGAGCAGCAGATTCAATCGTCAGATTGAATCGGATTCGGCCCTCGAAAACACGAATTAAGCGAACGCTCGAGCCGCCTAATCGCTTGACAGACGTTTGTGGGCTTCGTCGGGTTTCGAGCCCGTCTTGTTGATAGAGGCTTTACTCGATCGGTGTCTCTCGGCGCGTCATCGACACGCTCGAATGGATCGAGTATTTGAAAGCTCCGCGTAATAGTTTTGCTTTTTGTCATATTCTCGTTCGCAGAAAAAGAGCATTTGCACAAAAGAGCCTTCTGTTCTCTCAATGAACGCCACAGAAAATAGCGCAGCGACTTTGTCCGAACGATGTCAGCCGACTTGTGCGAAACTTTTCGCACGCAGTTCGCTCATCGACCTGCAAGCGCAGTTGCTTGCAGAGCTTCCACTCGATTTAGAATGGGAGAAAAGTTTTGTCATTCACGCTGTTGAGGCAATGGACCCCAATACAGCACGCGAACGGCGACGATCATCGAATCGATGACGTGCGGACGTCCCATAAACCTCAACGAGCGAATCAGGCTCGGTTCCCGATTCTCTGGAAATTGTCCTAAACGGCTCAATACTATTTCAGCTTTCGGTGTTTATTTCGAATGGAATAAAACGCCTGGAAACACCGTGTCCGTTCACATCAGCGACTCGGAAGATGAGTCAGGCGAAGAAGAGGACGACACGACTGAGACCGATATTGAAGCCGTCAAACCAGCCGTCGACCTCGAGCCTCCCTCGTCGATCATCATCCCTATCTATCGTCGCGATTGTCACCATGAGGTTTATGTCGGTCGACATCAGTATCCCGGCCAGGGAATTTATTTATTGAAGTTCGACAATTCCTACTCCCTCTGGCGAGGGAAGACCCTGTACTATCGCGTGTACTACACGAGATAGCCGCCTTAAGGCAAGAGTACCGTGTCGGGCACCAACTGGTGCTCAATGTTTATCTGTCTGTTGAGTTTTGAATGCACTAAATACCCCTCCGAACTGAAACTTACTAGTCATCAATGAGCGGATGATCGAGCCGACAAGCCAGCCAGCCAAGTAACCCACCCACTAACAACCAAGCCTTCGATGCCTAGGTAACTCAATGAGTTTTGGATGTAAATTCGGAGAGCGGACGTTTAGACCCAGCTTAATATATTCTTCCAAACAACGCGAGCGAGAACATGTCATTTTCCGAATGTCCATTCGTGTACTCATGGTACGATGGGTGGCAATTAGAAAGTAAGCCGATAATTCACGGCGAATTCCTGAGGATTTGAGAATAAATTCTAAGGCCGTCAAAGGAATCACTCGGAGGCGACATTCTTCAGAACAGGAGTTCCAAAATGAATCTTTTCCATGAAGACGGGTGTTTTGCCGATAACGAACCACGACCCTGTCTTATCCGCGTGGAGGGATCTCCCGTCATTGGTGTGCCCGGGAATGGTCATTGTGCGAGCGAGCAAACATGCGTGAATGAGATTGCACAGTTGCTCTGACCCGAGAGAATACACGCGTAACAACTCTATACGCAATGTCGGTGCGGTTTTGACAGAGCTGATGGCTTTACCATCCGCAGAAATGACGATTATCTCCCGGAGAAGTCGATTCCAAATATTTTCACGAGAAAATCGCTTTTCTTCAGACATTCCGCGAATGCTACGACGCGTATTTCCCGCATTTCGATGTGACAGGCTGTTGGGACCCGCTCCATTCACAAGAGTGAGTCAGGTTGGCTTCTCGGTGGAATCATCGAGCGCACCGAAACGAAACATCCGGTCTCACCAGGCGGGTCTCAATTATCATTTTCGAAGGCTAGAATTCGGGGACTTGTCTTACCGGCGCCGTTTTCCGCTTGGGTTCCATCCGAAGGTCTTCCTTCACTGACCACGACGCGGTCCTCTGCGTGGGGAGATTATTTTGAGTGAAATGTTAGGTTGAGATGTTGGCGATCGAGGAAGCCATCACTTGCTTGCGGATTCGAAGATCACTTCTGAGAGAAGCTGACAATGTAGTCCGATTTTCGCGCGTCTTTGTGAAAGCGGAGGAGCATTGCCCCCCGGAGTCTCGTCTATTGACTGTTGGCCGATGGAGTGAATCACCCCCAGTCTCGTAGGCATGGAATAGAGGGAACGATTTTCGATCCCGGGGGTGGGGAGAATGACTAGAGAATATGCAGAGATTCCTCCACTTACGGGGCCGAGCATATGCCAGAGCAGCGCACACGGCCAACAGTAGGAGCTGCTCCGTGAACTTCATTGCACGCTGCCACAATACAATGGAGGCCTTCGGTCGCTTTCACGTTGAGCGCTGCTCCAAGGACAAAGGGCCGACTCCATGCTCTCCTCCGAAAGGGAAAAAGTTCTGGAGGAGCTCAGTTTATTTCGCCCTGATTTTCCTCTCCCTGACCCAACGAGCAAACCGGATGACGGATCCACAATCACTGTCGGGACCCGAGACCCGAGCGCATAATTCGCGGGTGCGTGTGAAACGGGAGTCAATCGTCCCCATAGTCGGGATGGTCGCGCGGAACTTTCGCAAAGCGGACGCGCGCTTCCATTTAACAGAAAACGTCCATCTTTCGCTCAACACCCTGTTGGCCGAGGTCAATATTCCCAGCGGAGGGGAGGAACGGATAAAAAAGCTCAACGTCCTCTCAGGAAGAGGTTTCCGAGCTGGAGCTTAGTTTACGCTGCACTACGATTCAGAAAATGCAATTATCGAACCAGGTCAAGAGCGTCGGTACTTCCTGCCAGTAATTTAAACTTGTCTCATTTATTTAGGTATATTTGAATTTTGGATTATTCCCGAGTCTCTCCTTTCGCGAGGCTTCTTTGCATTATCTTATTCCCTTTCTCCTTATCTGAAGACCTAAAGCTCGAGGCGGTATCGCTGAAGCGCTGATGGAGATCACGGCCGACCTCCTTGGAGCGAAGGGTCTTCGTTATAAGCGTATGTACAACTTCAGTCGGAGTGCGTTTGCGCTTTTTCCGCCGTTGAGCGAGTTGGAGATTTCATCCATGTCAATTGCTCTGACAATGTTGTCAATTGTTTGACAATGTCCCCCATGAGTTCTTCAACATAGAGGAGGGAGCCAATGTGATAGCTAGAACCTGATCGGAGCTCCGATGTGTGAGCTCCGATGATCTGATAGAATTCCACACTCAATTTTTTGCATATGACGGCGCCGGAATGACTCAAGCTCTAAACTCTCGCCACTGATTCGAATGTATTCTGTCTCTCCGGTGCCTAGATAAGCTCCACTGTATCCTCATCTCAATATATACATGCATTCCAAATAGGAGGATTCATCCGAAATTCTCATGTTTAAATGGCCTATGATGTAACTAACACGGTATCTTTGCCCGACAACGCGATGACAAACTTATGGAGGTCCGGTGTGAGGTCAGCGAAAGCGATCTCATCAAAACTAAGAGGATCACAACCCGTGTCCGCGAGGAAGGCTCGCATTCTGTACAAGAGGAGAGCGGCCAACCCTTTCCGACGGGAATTCGGGACCGTCCACACGAAGAATATTGACCGTCTGGCTGGATAGTATTTCTCGGAGTCAATCAGGAGTCCCTGCCCGGGGAGCGTCCTCTGTGCCTGTAAGAAAAATCGAAGAATTCGTTTCAATGAGAAGATTGATCCCCGCAACATCCATTTTGGTCCGGAGCGCAATTTTAGAATCGGCGAGCTGTGGCGAGAAATTCCGAAAGTCCACTAGAAGAGTAGGTAAGTCTGTTCCTCTTGCTGGAATCGCTCGTTACCACCGGGTCTTGCTCAGCGAGGCAGGGAGGCAGAACGCTGACGGTCCGACTCCCAGAAACTCTCGCTGTTTACAGTCCTTTGAAACTCATTATTCCACCGTGAAGTTTCGTAGAACTTCTGTCAAATTATGCAATCCTCTGCTGGATGTTTGGAGTGATACCAGCGGCGAAGCCATAGAAAGAAGTTACTCGGAGGAGCCCCTCGGAACAAGCGTTAGCCAAGTTGGCGATCACCGGTGTCGATCAAAGATTCGTCCCTCTGTTTACAAGAAATTCATGACCGGTTGGGATGTCTTACCCGTTCAGCGGGTTCTGTCCCCAGGATGGACAGGATATCCCCTGAGTCCTTCACGAATATCGCATACATCCTGTCAGGATGCGTGGCGAAGTCCGCCGTCACGGCATCCTGATCCAATCCTACGATTTTATTGGCGAACTCTATCGCATCCGCCAGCCTCTCCTTGAGCTGCTTGGTGTCGCCCGCGGTGACTAGTAGCACGCGACCGAAATTCGGAACGACGTCGAGTACTTGAGCGTTTTGCACTGGCTAGAAAACAAAACAAAGAACTCGAAGTTCAATCTACGCTCCGGTCCCGGTCGATCTGATGACGCAGGAAGTTAGAGCAATATCCCCACCGCCCGTGGAAATCCCAGCCTCACCTTGATATGGAGAGCTGAGACCATTTGTTTATGGAATTTTTGATGTTCCCTTTCCTCTTCGGCTTCTCCTTGAGAGAAGACCATACCACAAGTCTTGCACTCGGATGCTCCAAATTTCTTTTGACCCGCGTCTATTTGGAGCTGTTTCGATCCTGAGCGATCGATGAGTCTGCTGAAACTCCTGAAGCCGTCGCAGCTCGCCGAAGTCGAAGCTCCGTAGAAATGCCTGACTGGATTCTGTTTCGCTTCCCAAGGAGTTGATGTAATCGGAGGGGGAGCTTCGCCGGTGCCCAGGAATGAGGCCTGCGCGCCTGCGAACGGTCGACAATAACATTGAAGCGTACCGATATCTCGTCCGGCGGCGGAACCGAGGAGCGCGATTAGAACGCGCGTAGAGATTCGCGTTTCCCAAGTATCATCATGAGACATACCTTTTTTACTCGGCGTGGAAGTGACACGCTCTTTCATGCTCTTTTCGAGAGCTTCCACTATAGAGGGCTGATCGTCGCCCGAAACCGAAATCTTTGGCGTGAGCTCCTTCGGTTTCTTCGTGGGCGACGTCAACTCCATGAACGGATTCCGGAAGCAGCCCCGCCGCGTGGGTTGCATACGAGCGAAACCAAAAGCATCTTGTGAAGGATCGTAAACCTCGCTCGGTGGCGGAACTTTCGCGGACGACCTGCGCGGCCGCGAGGCCTGAGATGGTGACGGTGACATGAGAGGGACATCACAGGGAACGGGGGTGAGATCTCGCGAAGAATCGTCGGACGCCGGACTTGGCTCTCGAGTCGGAATTCCGGACCCGATTTCGGTCGATCCGTGCATTTCTCCGTCCGCATCACATTCTTGCGGTTCCTCTGCATGAGATGGTCCGGGTTCGACTGTGCCTGCGTGTATTTCCTCCTCTTCAGGACGGAGGATGGTAACGTCATGTGAAACGTTGACGCTTTCTCGAGGCGTGAAGGCCGGCGTATGCCGTGGTCGATTGTTGACCCCACTCGTGTTCGTCACTATTTGGGACTCCTCGCCGCCGATCGATGAGGCATCAAGAAAACTGTTTCCTGCGGGTTCCTCGTCTTGAATGTCGCTCATTGTGGAAACTTTCTTCCGTTTGAGAACTTCTTCAGCTTCATAACGGTTCGACTTCCGTTTCCCGAGATGGGGGGTATGGACCTTCTGCGGTTCGACTTGCCTCGCTGGAGCATCGCATTTGGCCACCAAAGTAGACACTTGGGTTTTCCTTCTTTTGTTCTGATCAGCGTAAATAACGCCTTTGCCGCGCGATTTTTCATCGATGTTCTCTCTCAGCTTCAGGACCCCACCGATAATGGCGAAAGCACACTTGGGCATTGGTCGAGAATGCTTGAAGAACTTATTCGCTCCGGGCGTTCTGGGTTCTTTACTCTGTTCGAGAACACCGGTTCTCGGCGCCAGAATCTTGAAGCGATCCATTGGGTTGCCGCTGGTTTTGCCCTGAGAATAAAAGTCTGAGGGTTATAGGACAATCGATTGTCTGAATGGGTAGCACGGGCAATCTTCAATCGGTTTCCCGCCAACAGCCGATAACTCACTCTCGACGCAACTTTCGACGCCTTGGTCCCGCGAGGTTTTTTGACTCTTTTCTTGGCTCCTTGGCCCGGGATTTCTGACTCTCCTTCAGCTACAGTGGGAAACGAGAATCGTTTCAAGCGATCTTGCATGTCCTCTTCGATCGTTGCAGCAGCCTTCTGGCCGTAGAACGTCTTGGGAGGGACAACTGAAACATGGGGAGACGATGGGAGAGTCAACTTAGTTCGCAGGAAAAATATACAACTGACATCGAGGTGACACGGGAAAACCAATGGACAGAACTATACCGAGACTTGTCAGAGTTCACATCAATAAGGAATTCTTACTCGGATTGATTCGGGATTCTGAAACCCGATCGGGTCCTCTCCCGCTCACTTCTTCCGTGGTTTCTCCGGTATGCTCACTTCGACGAGCCGTGGCACGAGTATTCGGACGAGTGGATCCAGGTTTGATGGATTTCGTCCTCCGTGGAGCAGTTCGCCCAGTGCTGGAAGTCACCGTGCTGTCCTGCTCTTCGCGCGAGGTCGTCTGACTGCACACTGCATCCTCCGCGGGTGACGCCCGATCTTCAGCACTAACTCTCTTCTCGGAGACCGCTCTGCTGCGGGGAACGATCACATCTGAGTGATCCAGGATAGGTGGAGCGTTTCTGGTAGACCTCCTCCGCGTAGGGGTGCCTGTCTCGCACTCGTCAAGATCAGCAGATAGCGTTCTATCCGCAGCATTGCTTCCCGATCGTGTGACAGGTCTGACGACGGGGGAGCTCTCCCCGATCGTGCTGAGCGAGACACCATCCTGGCTCGCCCTGGAGTCGGCAGAAAGCGTGTTAGAGCGGGAAGGTCGGCTCTTGAGCACTCTTCCTGGTTCCCTTACGGTAGGGGTGAGTCTGCTGACTGCCGGATCAGCTGCTGCCGAACCCTCCAGAGCAGCTCGCTGTCTCCTAGTTAACATCATGGCTGCACGCCTCCGTATCCCTCCTCGATAGGAATCAGAACTTCGGCTTGCCGATGCTGAGAGGAGCGGATCTCGTAGAAATGCATTCGCACGATGACATGGTTCTCCGATCGCGTAAAGCAGCGAGAGTTCTCTGCGATGATTTCGCGCTCATTCTGCTTGAAATCCCGAGGTAAATAGTCGTGTCCGTCAAATCTGGCGGAGAGCCCATCGCCATGCGCGATCAGGTCATCTCAAAGCTTCACTGAATCGGGAGTGAAAATTATTCCCGGTCGTCCCACTGAGCGGAACGTTTTCCCGCGTTATTCCAAAGATCCGAAAGGATTCGAATCCCGGGGCTCTAAATTCAGAGGAGGAGGGGGCGTGCTCGCCAGCTCGCTAAATTGGCGGAATATTAAATAGCGGACAGCGGACAAGTCGGTGTTTGTGTCCCCGAGATCATCGCAAGGACTTCGTGATTCAAGACTGAGAGAAGCGAAATTCTCGAGAAGAATGGCCCTTCTAACAGCGGCGCGATGCCTCGTGCGTGTGAACGTGCCATCGATCGGTGTTCGGAGTTTTTGCGAGAGGAAAATCCACGACCATTTCGAGCACGCTACGGGGAAGGAGAAGTATGAGCTCGAGGCCATACGAAGTGGGAACTTGGACCCTTTCGACGAAGCGCCCCGGAAGCGCGGTGTAGGAACCAAGGACCAACCCAATCTGGTCCCCTCAATTAAGGAAAAGCGACTCGTGGGCTGCATTTGCGAAGAAGACGCCGTCGTTATCAACTACATGTGGGTCCACAAGGGCGAACTCAGGCGATGCATGTGCGGTCATTGGTTCAAACTCGTCGACAGAGATTGAAGTCCTTAGCGTACGTCTGCTTGGAATTGAGTCCCAAGTGTCTTACAATGTAGATTATGGTCGAGGTGGGACGATCATGTGAGGCTTGTGAATAAATATCTTGCACGGATCCTCACCGTCTACTTATTCCGAAGTCCTGCTCATCTGTCGCAGCCACCGTACACGCTGTCGAAGATAGAGGGCAGAGGTCGAACCATGGAGGAGTCGAACCCGATCGCGCAGAATCGTCAAATCAACGCTGGATGGACGAAGAGTTCAGCGGACGTTCCTTCTACGAGATGCAAGCTGTGGCCAGTGAGACACTTCGAGGAGACTCAATTCAATGCTGATCCTACATAGTTTAACGATACAATTAAAGTATTGATTTCCAAATTTCGCAATTTGTTCTCAATCTCTTCCCTGCATTCAGATTTGAGGCACGCGCCTCCTCAGTATTCTAGAGCCTGCGCTCTCGATACGCCGTCGCTGCCCCTCTCGGAACCAAGCTGCCTACCGGCTCTGCGGTCCTGCCCGGAGTTTCATCCCAGCTCGCTCGAGATTCTGTCGATGGCAGACTCGCACCGCGAAACTACGGCACCGCGAACCATATGGGCCGTGATTTCCAAAGCCGTGCTGCTCCTCTACTCCGCTCCCCTGATGCGCCCGGGACGTGGATGACGTTCTCTGTTCCCTAAGGCCAAAAATCACCAAAAGGAGAATAAAGCTCCCATGAAGCTCATACTACTGAGCCTGCTTTTTGGTCTTGGGTAGTCGCGTCGGGTGCGTCTCGCACCCTGCACTGACGGAAAATTGGTAAGGTCCAGCTGAGGTGAATTCCGGCGTAATTAGCTGGAAGCAACCGCTCTCCTTCATTAGACAAATGAGGGTGCTCATACGCGATAAAACCCCACCGCTGTCATCTTAGGGCACGCAAATCGATTCTCAAAGAAAAAGCTGCGCACTGTGGAGATAACGGAAATATTCATTCGGGAGGAGTACGAACCCACGCGCCCCATACGCCTTTCTCAGCTTCCTCCCGTCCACAACTGTCAGTCTGTTCAGAAATACCTGATCCTCTCCGCCGTTCGGCAGATACTGATATCGGTGCAATAGGACCTGCCTAGATTCTTAGGTCACAGAGCCTGTGGCTCGCTCCGAGGTTGTGAATGACTCTTTCGGATCAGGAGGCGAATGGTGCCGTTCGGCGACGACTTCCGTCCACTGAGGAGGATATAGGCCAGTGATCCTTGACGTCTTCTCAATGGATCCCGGAGTGATTTGTACGAACTGCCGGGGGTGATCGCTGGGAGAGAATGAGAGCGGGGCTGCAGAGGAAAAAACGGAGGAAAATCCTCGGAAGCACATCAAATGTATCGATGTATAGATAGGATCTTCGCTGCGATGTGCTTCTGCTCATGATCCAAGAACTCCAAATGCTCGTCTGGAATCGATTTCTTTCAACTGAAATCTGTTCCAATCGAGTGAACTTGACGGATTCCGCTCCGTCTGGGATAATTGTGAGTAGGATTTCCGGACGGAGCTGTGAGTATCCTTGATGGATATGCAGTTTGGCGACCCAAAAGTCTCGGAGGACAGCCCTCGACTGGCGAACTGGGGTCAATGATGAGTCACTGAGTAATGATCACAACGCTGAGACGTATCCATTTGGAGCGAAGAATTCTCAACACGCTCTACAGTCTCTTGCTGCTTTCGTGTTCTGCTCTTCGAAGAGGTCCAGCTTCACCTATCATCGAGGTGTCGATCTCAAATCATCTAGCGACAGTGAGGGATCGTCCGAGGTGGTAAGCGTTGAGTGCTAACCCTCTACGGTACGAGAAGCCAGCACCGGCTACGGTCTCCCGAGTTACCGAGCGGTATCTCTGGTATGATTCTCTCGATGTGAGGATCTTGACGCGCACCCTCCGAAATGCGCTTCTCCATACCGAAGAGCGGCGCGGCGCAACGTGTCTCGCTACATGAGTTCTATCCGCGCGGCACGGCTTAGCATGTTCACATATCCCAGAAACCTCCCCGAATATAATAACAGTGTCTGAAGAGAGTTTCAAAGTTTGCCGCTGTCCGAAGTTCACTCTGTTCAGGTCAAAGAAACCCTCAATCGAGCTGAGGCGGGATTGATCCGGGAAGAACGACGGACAATAGGTCGATACCGATCAACGGGACTTCCGTACGAGGCTTCGTCGTCGCTCTAACAGAGATCGGTATTATCGCAGACGAACTGAGTGAGTGCTCCTCTAGCTAGGCATGGGCTTGCTTATCCGCACCTATGCGTTTTGCCATTCTTATGAAACGATTCGTCCGCCGCTCGTGGACTCACTGCTACCCACTGGCTATCAACCTCGTTTGCGTGTTTGAGCTTATGAAACTTGGAGGAGCATCATCAACCCTGATGACACGGAAGCGCATAAGAGTTTCCGATCACTGAACATCTTTGGTTTCCTCTCGCTCGCAGTATGGATTGATTGAGACGGGTTATAGCTGCGGAACTCTGAAGGGAGAAGGACGTTTGGTCTGTGGCGGAGGCGATTTCCACGTGAGGAGGACCAATTGCGCTGGACCCTGGCTCGCTCGATTATATCGGCTTTAACAAAGGGCATGCTCGCCGGAGAACGGCGTGTTGGGCGTGCGAACAGGAGGGTCCGCGGCGAGGGGCTTACCGGATCAGGCGATATAATACGTTTGGAATCTCTTGAAACACATTTCAGATTAGGATCCGGATATTCCGGATAAAGAGGGGAAATGTCGGAAGGAATTACGGAGCTGGAAAAGAAGATCGAGGCACTCAAACTCGAGCGGGGCCGATTGCAGGTGATGTCTGTTTTCTGCTTGGGCGCGAGCTCGATTCGTCCATCATAATGTAATGCTTGGTCTGTGGCTCTATGGTGAGGCATTTCCCGATTCCTCACGAGGCTTCCGGCATACACAGGAACGCCTCAGAAAGCTGAAGAAGGAGAAATCGAGCTCTTGGATTGAGGACGCTCCGATGACGGAGCTTCAGACAAGAAGGAAAATCTATGCCATTGCCTTGAAGGGAAGACCCTTGCCCCCGGATAAAAAGCTCGAGAAATTGGTTCGTGTAATTCAAGATTGTTTCCCCAGGGAAAGCTCGTCGATAGCGGGATCGATTTTCGAACCGTCTCTGATGATATCGCCTTCTTTCAGGTCAGCCTCAGACCGCCTCCAGCGGAAGTTATTCGGCTAGATTCGAGCGACGAAGATTAGGGTTAGAATTAGCGCCTCGCGTCCTCCGCAACCGCCAGCGCCCCTAAGGTGGGGCGTTCTGTTTGCTCTTCGAGAAACACTGATATGTTGTGATTTGTAAATACATAGGTAGATAGACCAATACCAGCGATATATTCTGCAAGCACAGCGTCAAAAGGATCAGGATGCCCTATGGCGGATGATGTATCGATGATGAATGATGAGAAACGAGATGCTGAAATGTCGAGAAAGTAGAAACGGATCGAAGACTCTGGGACCTACGTTGTGTGTCGAGCAACTATTTATCCCGATTTTCCATTTGAAGAACAGATGGATCATGATATCGTAAACGAACAATTTACTCTCACTTCTCACTATCCGCCAGACAGCGATGCTGTGCTTGAGTTGGTCCATTGGGCGATGAGACTTCCGCAAGCGGACTTCATCAGGCGGGAGTGAATGATACTCCGACTTCACACGGGTTCGAGGTCGCTCCGTCCTTGTATTCATCAGGTAACTGTGGGGGACCGCCTGCAGTCTTCGTGGCGGGCAGTCAAGTTTCAGCAAAGATCATCGGGATCATCGTGCTCGGTTTGTGTCGTCAACACTCTTCACCGTTTCCAGTTTCTGAAGAGGGCTCGTCGGTGGCCGCGCTTAGTTTTCAAAATTTCCGAACTCGGGCCCGACCTCTGAGAGAACTCATCGAAGAATGTTCTACCACATTTCCTTGGAGCACGAAATTCTGCTCCATCCGCGGTACTTCGGTCCGCAACTCATGGAAACGGTGAAACAGAAGCTCTTCACCGAAGTCGAGGGAACTTGTACCGGGAAGTACGTGTATACCTCTCGTACGGCGCCGGTGACTGGCGTTTGTTCCTGCATTCCCATTCTGCTTCAACGTTGACCCTTGCGTGTACTTTCAGGTACGGCTTCGTGATCGCAGTCACCGCGATTGATTCCATCGGAGACGGCCTAATACAACCGAACCGAGGATTCGTAGTGTACCCTGTCAAATACAAAGCGATAGTATTCAGACCTTTCAAAGGAGAAGTTCTAGACGCCGTTGTCACTCAAGTCAACAAAGTCGGCATATTCACTGAAATCGGTGAGTTCAATCGACGACACTTGGTATACGTCAAGGCTCAAGACTTGTACGCGTCGTTTCGGAAAAGGAACGGGAGCCATGTTCTGACGTTATTGCATTATTCCACACAGGACCCCTTTCGTGCTTTATTTCGAGGCACTCCATTCCGCCGGACATGCAATTCGACCCGAATTCGACGCCACCATGTTACAAAAACGCGGAAGACGACTGCATACAAGCTGACGACGACATAAGGTTTGTCTACGAAGATTACCGCTGTTTCCCCCTCGTAAGGACTTGGGAGTTTCACGAGGAACCCGCGATGGCCACGATTGGTGGCATCCTGGGTGGCTTGCCCAACAATCCAAGCGTTGTTAACGATGACTATTCTGGACGATTTCCAGGTTGAAAATTGTGGGAACTCGTGTGGACGCGACAGATATTTTCGCCATAGGGACTCTGATGGACGATTATCTTGGAGCGATCGGCGGCTCCGGTTGAGAGCCGTTTGTAACTAAATCTGTAAAAAGAGCATGTGAATACGCGATCGAATAAATATGTAAAGCTCATGGGAACATCTCCGAGGCCCGTTTCCCTGCGGCGTTTCGTCATTGCGGAGCTCGCATGTGACTCCGGTTTCTCGCTCTACTCTCTTCCTCACGACATCTGATACGGCGAAATGCGTGGGAGAACACTCGAGACGAAGGCGATGACGATCAGCTCCGGATCTGCCTGGAAACAGAGAGCGACATTCAGAGAGCTATTTTCCCTCATGATCCCGAAAGCCTATCGAGAACTTCATAGAACTCTGGATCCCCCCTCGGAAATCCATCCTTACGGAGGCCGTCTATCAAAGGGTGCCCGTCTATATCTCGATCTCCGCGTAAGGGCCCTTCTTCCAGAGGGTGCCCTTCTGATAGAGTAAATACGGTTTGTTCCTCCCCGTTACCTCAGAACAGGGCGGGCAGAGCCGCGGACACGTTGGGGCCTTCTGACGCCGACGATTGACTCGGAAAAGTGACATTTTTCTTGGGAAAATATTCTCCAAATACATTCGCCTTCATTGTACATTTGAGCATCTGAGAGGGTCGAAAGGTAGAGTTCCGGTTCCCGCTCAGGCCGCGTCCAGTGCCCGGTGGATCATCAGATTGACTAGCGTTTCGTCTGCTATCCAGATGATAAATATAAATAAAGCTCTACCTCGGTGTGCGCGAAAGAGAATTCGTTGAACAGCGGTCAAACTTTAGGCGAGTCTTGGAGTCGGTGTCGTGAAGCTGATAGGATCCTATCCCTATATCTGCCGACTCATTAGATTTCGAGAGTTCTTCTGATTCCCCCTCCCTTGTATTGTCCTGACCGAGGCTCGCTTGATCGGGTTCGATTTCGTGTTCCAGGAGTTCGATGTAAGCGGACCGCTCCGGAGCCATATCTCGTCATCGCACACTCCCTGCCATCGCTCCTTCAGTCATCGGCCGTTCAGAGGGGTGTGAAGGTTGAGCTTGTCTCATAAATCGGCCGCTCGACCAGTTTCTCTCAATGGTTAGGGTCATTCGGTACATGGACATAAGATAGTCGATCATCTTTCCGTGATTTGTCGATACCAACGCCGCGTCGACATTCTGGTCTCGCTCTAATTACTTCTCAAAGAATCATGTTCCCCCATTTCATGAAGTCGGGGAAGCCGAGGGTTAACTATGACGGAGAAAAAAAACCACCACCTCTACCGGTTTACAAAATCGCTACAATTGGGAGCCTCCTGGTTGGTGCATTATGCTGTGAGTACCCATTAGGAGCGCCACCGACAGCGGCGCGTGATACACGGCGAAGTTCGCACGCTGCCATGAGATCTTATCGAGCTACGAACAGGAATGATCATACAGTGAAACCTGTTCAATAGGACCAGCCGCGATGCACCAGAAAAGCGGTCCGATAGCTCATGTGGTCCCATTGAACAGGTCATTTAATATGGCAACGAATCGAGTCGCTTCGTTCAATGTGAGGTCTGCTCACTCAGGTTTACCTCATATGGTTCAATTGGACAATGGTCTTATTAGACAGGTTTCATTGTATGTACTTCGTTGTCTGCTTCTCCGGGGGACGGAGCGTCATCGAACGTCTGACCTTCGATTTACTCCTATTTCCTCTCCCCAGCTTTGCAGTACTACAGATGGTATCGGCGAGAGAGGATTATGAAAAGTTACGAAGAGGAGGCGAATAGATTATTCGGGCAGGGGGATATAACGAAAATTATTTGCCAATGCAAGGGGCCATGGTGTGATTGCGTTAACCAACGACGTAAATCTGCTCTCGAGGGTAAAGTGGACGAGGATACATTACAATAAAGACTCATTGATTTATCGAATGCGACACGGTGTGTTACATTTAGATGGGGGACACATGTATATGTGTGTTTGGAAATGGGTTAGCCTCGACTTCTAGACTCTTAAGTGATCGTATTCTATACTCGGATTGAAAAGCTGGTCAGAGGCATTCACGCATTCTTCTGAAGTTTTCCTCTCGGTGAGTGTTCTCACTCCCACATCCCGACAGGAAACACTCTTGATTGGAGCTTACGTAGGTGACTAGCATTCTCAGCCCTTTGGATCACAAGCGGCCCATTGATGATCTTCAGGGCATTAATACAACTTTCCGGTCTGGAACCTCGACGACCTGGAAGCTCTTGTTCCTTCCGCGATGGGAGGCGTCAATTTTGCAATCGAATCGAGGGACATGGTTCTTGGTTAGAAGGGGGCCATGACCTCTCCTTCGGAACCATGGTTCTTGGATAGAACCATGTCCCTCGATTCGATTGCAAAATTGACGCCCGAGGGAAGTCCGCCGCCAGCCCGAAGCTGTGCGGAGATAGCATGAAACCGGAGGTTCCAAAGCAGGGGTCATGGCCCCCTTCTGCTCGGACTCAGAAGGTGTTGAGTCATTCCAGCGTTACAGCGTAGCGACTCAATGGATCATAACCTTATTTCTCGAGCACGCACGGCTGTGTGAGCTGCCCCTCGCCTACAACGGGAATCTATATATATAAAAACGTATGTCTGTTTGTCTGTTTGTCTGTGTGTCCGGGGTACCCTATAGACTCGAAAACGGCTGAACCGATCGTCGTGAAAATTTAGGAGCGTGTTCTGGGGGATCCAGCGGTGGTTATAGGGAGGTCGGTTCTCCGATGCGATGAGTCCTTCTACCTTAAAAAAATTATTTGAGTGCTCCACCCACGAAAATTCGAAAACTCGGAAAAAATTGAAAAATCCGAAATTCGCAAAATTCACAAACGCCTGAACCGATCGCCGCAAAAACTCAGGGGTGGGCTCTCGGGAGCTGCAGAAAAGCGATGAGGGTCGTCGTTCTCATGTGATGGGTCTTCCCTCCATGAAAAAATTATTTGAGTGGTCCTCTCACCGAGAATCAAAGATTTCATCAAGGGAAAGACGGGAATTCGCAGGATTTCTTATCGGCTGGACCACCATGAGGGGGCGGATTCTTGGGAGCTCCTGAGAAGTCTATCGGGGGTTGCCGTCATCACTGGCCTCTGACTTTTTACTAATGAATCTCGCTGAAAATCGCTGTAGCCGTGAA